TGAAAATGGATTGGGGAACACGCTAAGCCTATGTTGTCTCCTCTTCACATTTTTTCCATTCTTAGATTAACATATATATTTCATTTCTATCATTTCCATGGTTTACTGTTGAATTCAAACAGCCAAGGGATCTTTCAATATTTACAATGGTGGACATGGGTTTCTTATCCCATCAGAACAATTAGACACACAGTGTTCTTGTCAACCCACAAACCCCAAATCTGAAAAGTGACGGATGGGCTTGAAAAATCTTAAAGGACAATATCTGTGTCAGTCATTATTACATATGTGATAGAACTGGTTAAATACATTCCAAATATACTTTTAACACACAGATCATTGCTACGGGAGACGTGTAACAAGCACGTGAAGAAACGGGAAGTGACGCCAAACATGACAAACATAAGTTGTCCTTCTGTATAACAGACTGAAGTAACAAGCGGTAACAGACAAACGATCGAATTTCATTTCACTGATAATTCCGTTGAAGTTGAAAAGTTATTATATGGAACGGTGAGAGGGTATTTCACAATTCAAAAATAGAATTGGCTGTCACTACCTAAGGGACACGAGAAAAAGTAGAAAAATCCCGTGCATTCCCCCGTTTTTATTCATTCTGTTCTTAATAAAAACATGGTAATGCACAGACTTTTTCTAATTTGTTTGTTATCTTTTATCTACTGACAGCCAATTCTTGATTTGAATTGTCAGATATCCTTTCATCGTCAGATATAACTACTTTTCATCTTCAACGGAATTATCAATGAAATGAAATTCGATCGTTTGTCTGTTACCGCTCGTTACTTCAGTCGGTTATATATATGGACCACTCATGTTTGACGTCACTTCCCGTTTCTTCACGTGCTTGTTCGACATCTCCTGTAGCAATGATCTCCGTGTTAAAATTATATTTGGGATGTATTTAACGAGCTCTATGACATATTTTATAATGACTGACACCAATATTGTCCTTTAAGCCTACACCAAGAATTGAACGCTGGACATTCTAGTCACGAGGCCAGTGTCCTACCACTTAATTTTACATGACATCTCACCTGGGTTTTTTAGCAAGTATTTCATCTATATCATTATCTGGGTGTGGTCTTTTACCATTCTGTTGAATATTCTCCTGGTCTTGGGACGGTTTGGGTTTGGGTTTGGAAATAAAGTTCTAAAATAAAATTGAAGTAACAAAATATAACAATTCATATCCTTGTAAATACTGAATGAAATTAAACCTTTTTTGGACTGATAGTCCTTTTAGAGAGAGAGAGAGAGAGAGGGTTTAACCTCCACTCGACACAAAAGAGGTCATTTCGGGAATAACAATTTTATTTCAATCAATCAGTAGCGCGTAGGGGTGGGAGGAAACCAGAGGACCCCACTCCTTGTCATGTACAAGCGGGGAATCAAAACCACGCCACTTGACTCAATGACAGACCACCGGATACAACACGCACCATATCGCCACCCAACCCCCCGATAATCACTTTAGAGATTCAACTTTCACAATATTGTAATTCAAAACTCTACAAATGACAGTCAGTGGCTTTATTTAAATATTTATCAGTTTGTACTTTGAAAGTCCAAAATTTAAAAAAAAAAGAGTATAGAATTGTAACACAATAAAGATTGAAATATGAAGTCATGAAATATACCTTCCAGGTTTCTTTAGCGATTTTCAGTGGAGATCTCCAACCAACTGTAACAGATAAACACCAAAAGTTAATTCATGAAGGACAGGGATATTGAGAGAGAGAGAGAGAGAGAGAGAGAGAGAGAGAGAGAGATGGGATTTAATGTCCACTCGACACAAACTAGGTCATTTTGGGACTAGGTGGAAACCCGAGGACCAGAGGAAAACCCACGAGGTTGGACAGGCGACCCTAGGAATATTGCAAGACTATCATGAAATTTAACGTCCTACTGTTCTGCTTCGTCTGGGTTAATGAAGACGTACATATGCCATTCATTTGCTATGAGGGAATTTTGCCTGGGCAATGGCACTATGGCCTACCCTTATATCGAATTCCAACTGCAAAGGGATCTTTTACGTACATGCCAATGTATACACGGGTCCTTGGTTTTTCGTACCATCTGAATGACTAGACAGCTGTCTGTCAGACCCTCCATCCTACACAACTGACATGGAAAAACCACATTGGAAAATCGCGATGAATTTTCTCGACCAAAGCAGGGATCGAACACACGACCTCCATGCTAGTGACTGTGGCTCCTGCAAGAATATCAAGTGATTTGACTTCAAATAGTAATCAATAGGGTTTAAAACAGTATAACCCTTTGAAAATTAAATGAGTAAAGGATATATAGATAGTACTTTTACTAACAGAAACCACTACCAACTTACCTAGGAGTCTGGCTACTAAATTAGAATCCAGTAAAAATGGATTAGGTGCATTAGGTATTTTATATTTAGAATTAATAGGCAGACGTAAAGCTTCAAGATGTCCACATACGAGATCTGTCAACCATTGAACATTAACAACAGGAATCTTCCATTCTTTAGCTTTCTGATATTTTATACCCTCGGGTCTATAGAAAAAAATCAAATAAATAAAGTGAAAATTCAAATATCATTTCCCAGAGCCAGATTATTTGGCAATCTAGACGAAGCCAACTACTTACAACCCACCCCACCCCATACCATCAAAAAACAACACAAAGAAATTTTCACAACTCTGTTTTCAAACACAGATCTAGATGTTTTCTAGAAACAAAATTGCTAAATTAATTTTAAATATGGAAAACATCAATCTTTCATTATTTTTTTCAAATAAATGAAATGAAATGAGGTTGAACATCCTACTGTTCTGCTCTGACTGGGCTAATGAAGACAGGCATATGCTATACAGTGTACTATGAGGGATATTTTGCACTATGGTCTACTCTTAAATCAAATTCCAACTGTCAGGGGATCTTTTATGTGTACGCCAATATATACACATCTGTTCCTCCATCCTGCATCCCTGACAAGGGGAAACCATGCTAGAATTTTTTCAAATATAAACATTGTGACCCTCAAAGGTAAGTACTGTGACTTCAGTGTTAATGTACCACTTGCAATTGTTGGCCTAATGGTAAACCAAGCCCTGCAGATTGTACACAAACACAAAAATCTAACAATGCTTTAATTAACAAAAAACAATTTTTATGGAACACATTCTCTGGTTCTATTCTAAAAGTACGTTTTTGACAAGTATCCTCTTATCATTATCATTGTGCGTGATAATGATAAAGAGGATACTTGTCGAAACGCCATGCCTTTAGAATAAAACTAATGATTATTTCCCATAAAATTTGTGTTCTGTTAATGTGTTTCCAAATCGCTAAATGCCACTTAAAGATTAATGTTTTAATTGCCTAAACTTAGGCCAATTGAAAATAAATTATGGTTCTCAGTTACTCACCTTTGAGCGACAGAGGTATCTGAGAACCCTAATCTTTTTTTTTATCATGGCCTTACTTTATGTTACATTGAATGGATAGAACTTACTTTTTACATATTAGAACTGAATTAGCATGTGTCATATAACCAGTATATTTAGCACCAAGACTTGTAATTAGTTGTTTTACTCTCTTTCTTTCTTCTCCATCAAAATTAGTCACACAAATAATCTACAATTACAAAATAAATCAACTGAAAAGGGGTTTACTGTCCTGCACAAACCGAGCATACCATTTACTGTTAGTGATATTTGGCCTGGGAATTGGCATTTCCTGTAGTCAATGGTTGTTTTATGAGTACTCCAATAGCCACACAATACTTGTTTTTTTTTTCTTGACCCATGAAAACGTATATTAACAACTCCCAGGTTGGATTCAACTGGATTAAAAGATGCCCATCAAAAGATTTTAATTAACACTGTATGAATATATATATCGACTGCAGAATTGTCAAATGATTAATAAAGACCGAGATATGAATCGATTAATTAAGAATGAGAAACAGAATAATTAATAAAGCATGAGATACAGAATGATTAATAAAAAATGAGATGCAGAATGATTTATGAAGTAGAGAATGATTTATAAAGTATGAGATACAGAATGATTAATAAAGCATGAGATACAGAATGATTTATAAAGTATGAGATACAGAATGATTTATGAAGAATGAGACACAAAATGATTTATAAAGTATGAGATACATAATGATTTATAAAGTATGAGATACAGAATGATTAAGTATGAGATACAGAATGATTAATGAAGAACGAGATACAGAATGATTAATAAAGCATGAGATACAGAATGATTAATAAAGTATGAGATACAGAATGATTAATAAAGTATGAGATACAGAATGATTAAGTATGAGATACAGAATGATTAATGAAGAATGAGATACAGAATGATTAATAAAGCATGAGATACAGAATGATTAATAAAGTATGAGATACAGAATGATTAATAAAGAGATACAGAATAATTAATAATGAGATACAAAATGTGCAAACCCCCATATTACTGACCTGATTCTGACATGGTTTCTGATCACCGAACGGAACTGGAAGATGTAAACCTTGAGTAGGTGGTGACATCTTCTTCTGAACTAGACAATCATTTAACCAAAATGCTGTAACAACTCGCTTCTGATCATTCATGGCCTAAAAGTAAATAATAATGGAATCTATACATAATTCATAACCCCGTAGATCATTTATTAATAAAGACTTTTCACCCAGATTTATAACTACAATTAATGATTAATGATTGATCGTTTTCTTATACGGGGTGTATAAAGGTGTTGCTATGGGAGAAATTTTCCATTGACAACAGCACTACAATCTACTCTTTATTTCGATTTTCAACTGTCAAGGGATTTATAATGTACTGCAAATAGTATGACAAAGCATTTTTTTTTTAATTGGTCCAATCTGAATGACTAACCACTCCTCCTTGCCAGACCCTCCTGGTTAGAGATAGTAAGAGAAATGGGGTCAACATCTATTCGACACAAACTCTATCATTTTGGGTCTTTAGCTGTTGGAGGAATCTGGAGTACAAAAACAAATCCCACATGTTTAGAAAGGCGACGCCACAACTTATATGATAAAAGGGGGGAATAAAAACCTCGTCACTTGGCTCAATGATAGACCTTATGATCTACGACGTATGAGTTAAAACATTCGCCCCTTGGTTAGAGAGTCACCCAATCGTAAATTTTGAAAACATATTGACCACAGTGTGGCGTATAAGACAGTTAATACTTACAAGTTGAAAGACATCACTATGCTGGTTATAACATAAAACATGTGTTATACGACTAGAGTAAGAATCATCAACTTCACCACCATGTTGATCTATAACCTATACAAATATATAATATTATATAATAAAATATATAATAGTTATCTAATCAAATAAAATGTATAAGAGTTATCTTATAAAACAAATATAATATTATATAATCAAATATATAATAGTTATCTAATCAAAGAAAATATATAATAGTTATCTTAATAAAACAAAATATATAGTAGTTATCTTATAAAACAAAATATAAAATAGTTATCTAATAAAATAAAATAGGGTGAACTGTCTAGTGCAAGTAATGACTCGCACCTCCAAACGGTTACTAACCGGTTAATAGCTACTATTATAAACTTATAGCTATGAATAACAAAACATCCTAACCGTAGGAGCATTAGAACTGTCCTAATTTTCTGCACAGACCAGGGTAATGATGATGGGTATATGCCGTGTAGTGTGTGCCATGAGAGAAATTTTGCCTGGACAGTATTTTTCTGCTTACTATTTATTCATCCTATTCAACTGTCAATGGTTGTTTTATGTACACATTAACATGCTCATGGAACTTTTATTTATTCCATCAGTATGAATAAATACTGAGTCATTGCTGATCCAAGGCAGGTCCCCTCCCCTGTCCAGCATAATTGACAAGAGAAATCCATACAGAAAAATCCTGAGAAACTAGTCTGTTTCACAAAGCAAAATCAACCTTACAACTTTTCATTAAGATTCCCACAACTCCTATATTTTACAGACAGATAATTCCATACTATGTAATATCTGGTTAATAGTATTAGGTCAGAAGTCATAGTTGGAATAAATCCCAGTTAATATTGCCATATACTCACATCTTTCCATGTCTTAATCTCATCAGCTCCAAGTAGTTGATGATAATCAGTTATATAAAATACACAGCCTAGTAAACACATATCTGGTGGTACTGTAAATATAAATATAACATTGTTCTATATAATACAACCTAGTAAACACATATCTTGTGGTACTGTAAATATAAACATAACATAGTTATATATAAATAACCCAGTAAACACATATCTTGTGGTACTGTAAATATAAATATAACATAGTTATATATAAATAACCCAGTAAACACATATCTGGTGGTACTGTAAATATAAACATAACATAGTTATATATAAATAACCCAGTAAACACATATCTGGTGGTACTGTAAATATAAACATAACATAGTTACATATAAATAACCCAGTAAACACAGATCTGGTGGTACTGTAAATATAAACATAACATTGTTATATATAAATAACCTACTAAACACATATCTGGTGGTACTGTAAATATAAACATAACATTGTTATATATAAATAACCTAGTAAACATATCTGGATGTACTGTAAATATAAATATAACATAGTTATATATAAATAACCCAGTAAACACATATCTGGTGGTACTGCAAATATAAACATAACATATAGTGATATATAAATAACCTAGTAAATACAGATCTGATGGTACTGTAAATATCAACATAACATAGTTATATATAAACAATCTAGTAAACAAATATCTGGTGGTACTGCAAATATAAACATAATATAATTATATATAAACAACCTAGTAAACACATATCTGGTGGTAGTGCAAAATATAAATATAACATAGTTATATATAATACAACCTTGTAAACAAATATCTGGTGGTACTGTAAATATAAACATAATATATACAACCTAGTAAATACAGATCTGGTACTGTAAATATAAATATAATTATATATAGCTAGTAATAAACACAAATCTGAAAATAAAATGGGGTTTAACATCCCACTGTTCTTCTCCGATTGGGACACATATCTGTGTTTCTGTAAAAATGAACATCACTATATCATAGCTAACTCTTCATGCATATTTACTCAATGTGTTTTCAACATCATGTTTCAATGAGGGATAATACAATTGCATGATCATTGGAGACACAGAGAGAGAAATGGGGTTAAATGCCCACTTGACACAAACTAGGCATTTCGGAACTAACATATGGTTCAATTTTATTTTAATAATTAGCATGCGCTTAGGGGAAAACTGGAGAAAACCCACGTTTGACATGCGACCCTACTGTTTGTCGCGTACAAGCGGGGAATCGAAACAAGCCACTTGACACAATGACAGACCTTATGGTTTCACATGCACATGTTAAACTACTAGACCACCCAACCTCCTCATAGGACACAAGTTCGCTTTTAATACAATATATAACAATTTTAACTTTATAAGGCCTAAAAAATATTCTGCTGTTTAAGGTTGCCCGACCAACCTTATTTTGTAAAACTAATATCACAGACCCTAAACTTTTTGCTCTCATTGCCCAGGCTCTAGAATAATTCATCTTGCCGTGATTTTCTCTAGACAAATTCTAGCGTAAAAATTTCGTTATTATTTTCAGTAGTTAAGCTAGAATTGCTAGCAAATGAATAATAAATACCCGACAGGGCGACAATAAAATAAAAAAATTTCCGAAGGACCAACACTATTTTTGTGGGGTCAAATAAATTTAACCACTGGTATTTCTTCTTTTTTTTTGGCCTACCAGATTTTTCAAAGATAAATATTTCTATCATAAAGCTTAATATTATTATAACTAGAAATAGTCATGTCTCACCATTTTCAGTAGTATCGTGACCATAGTATATAGGTACTGCTGGAGTAGGTGGGCGTGGTCCAGATACAGGTTGAGCAGTTCGACCAGGATACATTGGTGGTGGAGGCCGATTCATCTCTAACATCTGACTTATCTGTAAAATATAGGTGGAGGTTTATATTATATTAAGTCATGTCAATCCAGTTTTTAGTTTTATGGGGTCTTGTTCAATAAACATGTCACTTAATTCCCTGTGTGATGTTTTGTAAAAATTTCAAAATTGAAAACTGAAATTTTTTTAAAAATTGTTTGGGTTTAGTAGTGGAAGGGAAGTCTACTTCCAGAGAATCAGATCTCTATATTTTGACAATAGTGAGCAGCTCTGACTAAATGTGATACATCACGAAAAACCGAGGTCCCAAGTACACATTGGCGTGCACGTAAAAGATCCCTTGACAGTTGGAATTCGATATAAGAGAAGGCCGTAATGCCGCTGTCCGGTCAAAATTTCCTTCATAGCACACTGTTTGGCATATGCCCGTCTTCATCAGTCCAGTTCGGAGCAGAACAGTAGGACATTAAACCCCATTTCATTTCATTTCATTGCATAAAGTAAGGCTTTCTACTGTACGCATGCTTGTGCTTTTCTAGCCACCATCAATACAAACCACATATCAATCTATTTAATGATCAAAATAGATTTTCAACATTACACCTACCTTCGATTTAGTCATGTCGGCATTATTAGTAATATTACGTAAAGTTCGCTTCTGTTGTAAAGCTTCTTGTTGCAGTTGTTGCATCATACCAGAATTTGGTAACCCTGGTAAAGACATTGGTGGCATCTGACCCTGCATTGAAACTTGACTTTGCATGTGACCCTGTGTTTGTCCTTTTGAAGGTGAAATATTGGCATTTTGAGGACCTTGAAATTGGTGATGTGCCTGCATTTGAGGATGAGGTGGCCTTTGCGGATGTCCTTGAGGCATACGATGACCTTGTACAGGAAACTGACCCTGCATTTGAGGCCGCATCTGCCCTGGAGGTGATGACATTTGACTCTGCATTATATTTGGAAGCTGACCTTGACTTCGAGGTATCTGTCCTTGACCTGGATACCTCATTTGACCTTGGGTCATTTGTTGTGGAGGAGGACCTTGGTGATGGAGAGGAATCTGTCCTTGGAAATTCTGCATTTGTTGCGCTTGGTTTTGGCATGGCATCTGGCCTTGACCTTGTGGCTGCATCTGCATTAGACCTTGACCTTGACCAGGCTGCATATGTCCTGGACTTTGAGGTGGCATTTGACCCTGACCCATATGTGGCATTTGATTTTGCATAAACATCTGATTTTGTGGATGTCCTTGACCTTGATGTGGTACATGAGCTAAGGGATGACCTTGAATTGGAGATTGGCCTCTTGTTGGAGAATGACCCTGATTCATTCCCATACCAAAATGCATGCCTTGCATTGGTGTTTGTCCATATTGCATGGTATGTCCAGGACTCTGGGGAACTCCAGGCATAGGATATTGTCCGTGAGGAAACATGGAAGCTAGAGTTGCAGATATGTCAGCAGGGTCAGAAGACTTTCCACTGGCTTGTAATCTGCTGCTGACCATTCTGGCCAGTGCTTCCTTGGCACTAGGAGTTCCTGGACGACTTCCATTTCTTGGGGAGTCATCACTGGATGATTTACGCCGCCTTGCAAAAGGGCTTGGACCACCAAGTGCCATTTGTTGACCAATAAGATTGGAGAGATCGCCAAGATCTGGAATTTTGCTGACAATTGGTGGTTTGGGTTTGGGTGGAGGTGTTTCTGGTTTTGGATACACTATTAGCCGAGGATGGTAAATAGTCTCATCTTGAATTGCTTCTTTCTTGATACACTCAGACACCCAATCTGGGGTAACAATCTTCACTTTCTCTTTGAACAAACCTTCAGTATACTTCAGCTATAATTTAATAAAAAGATTTTTTTTCAAAAGTATAAATATAACGTCCATTTCAGACAGTACATTCAGCCCTGAGTTAAAATAAAATACAGAAAACATCTGTACATTATCACTTTCAACCACAATGGATAGATAATCTAAACAGTGACATCAAAACTCGAAAGTCTCAATCGATGCACAATTTTCCTAAGAGCAGGTAGGCTAAGCTTCATTTCAATCATAGTCGACCTGGCAGAAGTAAAGAAAATCACCAAGTTCATTTAATATTTTCATCAGAGTGATTCTGCCTTTTAAAAGCCACTACAAGTTTCACTATATAACTTAACTATATATTCATTGAAAATAAAAGTCTCATACCCCATCCGTGCCACTAGCTATTAAATGTGTAACATTTTTATCGAACTTGAGTTGACATCGTCCTCCATTGTAGATAAGCATAGACCACAAGGAGCGAGCATCTGTTATATCTAACTGTAAAACAAAAACATTGATTTAATTAAAATCTTCTGATTACCAATTCAGTCATTTAGAATCCCTTGCAAATTACGAATCGAAAAAAAATGGTTCTATTCAGACATTCAACATCTTCTGCAGACGATAAATATTTCAGAGATTATCGGCTGTTGAAATTGTTTTGTTTTCATTATCAAATGTTAAATTGAATGTATTTGTACATTGTAAGGTAAATGCATGATCATGATCAGCCACTTAAAAGATAAAAGAATTGTTTAAATTTGATGATCAAAGCTGTAAGAAACCACAAAACAACAATACCGATATTTCGTGCATATCATTTTAGAATATGTTTTGACATCAAGTAATAATTTACAAGGTATTTCTCTTTGGACGGCTTCGAAGTGAAAATATACCATTACTAAAACAAAGTTATGAAATGAAATGGGGTTTAACAGCCTACTGTTCTCCACCGATTGGGCTAATGAAGACAACAAGGTGAAACCATGCTGGTAAATCCTGGGAAAATTTCTCCACCAAAAACAGGAACAAACCGCGGACATCCTAGTTAGTGATCTAACCCCTTACTCATTGAGCCACCTCAGCTCCCTCAACCAAAGTTGTATCAATGCATATAGACCAATGTCTTTCATGTTCTGTACAATCAAGAGGCCAAACATCAATTAAGAATCACACTGTTAAAACTGGCATATCTTTTCCCCACAACCATACCGTGGAATGACTGGTAACTTACCCTGGAAGGACAGGCAACTACACCAGAGAATAAACATCCTTCTAACGCAAATCTTTCCTTCGGTAACTGTTTCTTACAAATAACTGAAAGTCGTACCCAATCACTCTATTAAAGAAAAATACATTATAAGTTAATAAAAAAATGATTCCTTTTGGCGAAAAATAACGAATCAAGGTGAAAAAAAGAAGGTACCGTAATAACAAAACATTGTACAGTATGATAAAATGATAAGGATAAAAAAAACCCCCATCATATATAGTTCTTACCGAAACAATAGGTCGTTCAAATATCTCTTTAGCTTCAGAATATTCATCAGGTACTGTTGAGTCTGCGATCACATGACTAACCATTTCACTCAGGTACGTGTCACGCTTCCCTCCTTCCGATATCAAAAGATTTATTACCTGCATAATATAAATATACAATTACTACAGTTATTATCAAATACAAGGAATAAGGCAGTATTTGGAATAACAGACAATCAGATCTACAGGCCGTGCAACTTTCTAGGACTATCTGACTTGAGGAAACCTTCCAACCAACAGCTTGTGGGGACATCCTTAGAGCAGAGGTGGGGAAGAGTGGTATTTTCATATTGCAGCAATAGGGACGAATAGGAATCGTCTGATCAGAGACCATTCCTACTAGGCTACTTTTACATGCAGCGCAAATCCCCCTAAAATTTGAAGAGTCTAAACTCTAAGACTGCAAAAGTTCAATAGCATCTTCCTCAACACTGAAAACCAAAACCTCTGTCAATCATTGTACGTGTCATGTTCTTATAATTGACAGCTCCAACTCATAATAATAACTTTTTATTATGTTGGAGGGGATAAAATTAAGTACAATTTTTGACAAAGAACTTCTGAATTGTTGATAAAGAAAACATCAAGATTGTTAGCTCTGCAAATTTACTTCTGATCAAAGATCATACCCTCGACTAAGTAAAACTAAAAAAAATGGCTAACATTCATTATCAACTTAAGAGTCTTAGATTATATATCTGAGTTTTTCATGTTTAGAACAACTTACATCATGCGGTATATCTCCGACGATATAAAAAGTCACATCTTTGAATATCATTGTTTTCTCCTCCATTTTTAGATTTTAATTTAGTCTCCAAATGTATTATAGTTGTGACATTTTCTTTAATGTTTTTTTTTTTTTATCCCTTTCCCGCTGAATCGCGTGCATTAATCAAGTCTCGAAACGTCTCAACCCAGATTTGTGTTTATTGGAGATGTTTCGTTTCCTCTGATGTTTAAAATATTACTGGTTTAAGGCTCATTTTCAAAATGATGATTTACATTTCACACGTTTGACATTATTAATCAGTATGTAATGTAAAGAAAATATTATGGAACTATATTTCTTCTGTTGTTGAACTTCTCTCGGAAACCTGAACGAACTTGATACATGGAAAGTACTGATGGGACGAAATATCTTCACTTTCACAAAAGAGCTGGAGAAAGGGTGAAGACATTGGAGTTGCGTCCCCTGGATCAAAATGAGAACATTAATCAATTTGCTCAATGACGTAGATAAAAAAAAAAAAGATTATATTATAATAAATAATAAAACCCCCCAAATATTTAGGAATTTTAAACAGTAATTTAAATCGCTACGCAAGTCAACCTAAAACATTGGTTAAAAAATCCTTGGGAACTTGTCTTGACATGAATCCTCTTTTGAAAAAAATGTTGGTCTAAAATGACTCCATTGAAACAATGAACTGAAATGTGGTTTAACATCCTACTTTTCGACGCCGATAGGCTAATGAACGACTTGACACTGCCCTCCGTCCTGCACCTCTAAGAGAATCCTGAAAAACTTTTTCGGACAATATTATATATCCCTGGAGTAAACCTGATCCACCACTCTCCCCCCCCCCCTCCCCATTGAAAACACATTTTACATCATACTGGTACAGTAATGACTGAGAAAGAATGAAGTTTAATGTTCACTTGACTTAGAAGAATACCATTTTCGATAGACATTCTATATTAAGTTGCAGGAGGGGTGGGGGTGCCCGATTTCTGTTGGAAGAAATTCTGTTAATATTCTGCTGAATTTGTCGGGCCTGTAGGAGAAACTAGTCTCAAATATTCTACAGTTTCTGAAAAATATTCACATATTGGGTTGCTGAAATTTTGTAAGGTTCTACAAATGACAGATCCACCAACAGCTTGTCACAAAATCAACCACATTAAGAACTATGAAATGAAATGGGGTTTAACATCCTGCTACGACTGGGTTAATAAGACGGGCATACACCATACAGTGTGCTATGAGGGAAATTTTGTCTGGACAACCATGCTGCGGCCTATCAAATTCCAACTGCCAAGGGATATATTACATGAACGCCAATGTGTACAAGGGACCTCAGTTCCGAACGACTAGATAACAGTCCTTGTCAGGCCCTCTGTCCTGCTCCACTGACAAAGAGAAACCACACCGGAAAATCCTGATGAACTTTCTTGGCCAACACCTGGATCGAAACTGTGACCTCCAGGCTAGCGAGCCAGAGTCTTACTCACTTGGCCACTGTGGCTACTGTTAAGAACAACAAAGCATATAATTATTAACATGATATTTATTAACAAATAACTTTCTGTCACCAACACATCCACTTATAGCATTACAAAAAATTATTTGATTTCATGTGGAGGCACTTAATGAAAAAAAAAAATAACATTCACAAGAATATATAGCCATTGTATAAAATAATTTAAATATAAGAGTTAATGACATCTTCACTAGCCAAGATAATACGTCACCTTTTGTGGTTTGAGGTTCTTTAAAAAAAAACTATACTAACTGCATTGTTTTCTCCAAATATCTCTCAAATTTAAATGAAAAATATTTATTTCATATTTGGGGAAAAAGGTAGAACTAGGAATACTTTGATCATTCTGAGACTAATATACTCAAAATCCAACATCTGTAAATCAGTAAAGAAATTGTGTCTGGATGTCATAGACTAAAATCTTTTTATGTCCAGTAGACTTGTAGAGTTAGATTTCACAGTCAGTAAAGAAATTGTGCCTGGATGTCATACACTAAAATCTTTTTATGTCAAGTAGACTTTTAGACTTCACAGCCGAGTATAAAGGTACACAACTCATAGTTGACTAATGAAGATGACATTAATAAAAAATCCCTAAGAGTAACTTTATTATGAAATTATTAATTAACAAAGGTTATTATTTTGCATTATTTTGTACTAGATATAAATGTCTATCACACCATAGTAAATCCAGATAACTCAACAGGATATTTTCATACATTATTTCAACTGGGCCATCCACCCCCCACCAGGGCTCTTGTTTTATTCTTTTTTGCCCCTCTAGAATCAATGACAGTGACACTGACTGACTGATTAGTCAATTTACATGTCTTAAAATACAATTGTCATGTCATATTTGGTGTCCGTTACCATTATTTCGAATAATGTTACTGGCAACTTGCCAATCGTAGATTATATAAAACTAGATGAAATATTGGACTTGCATGATAATTGCAAACCTCTCATAATTGAACGTAAAGCTGTTGTATGGTGGTGAACGTCAACAATGGCGCTAAGACCAGTATGTAAACTGTTTTTGATTGGTATGTAGAATCAGCCTACGAACCCAAAGAAATCAAGAGCAGATAATCTGAATCGTGAAAACCCTGTGAATGGACTCGTGGGGGTTAGTGGAGTAGAACGGAATGATACCACTGGGGATACCCATGTTTAGAGTGTATGAACTATCTCGAGAGTTAATGTGATCATAAATCAACTCATTTTTATATATAAATCATTATCATTTATAAAACTACTTTAAGACCTACAATAGGCAGATTTATCTCTTAAATAATGCCTGTTTAAAGATACATTATGGAAGATTAGATAAAGAGCTGGCAGTTCTCACTATAATAGTTAACAACTATATAATGTAAAGGGAATATGCTGAAAATTTCAGTCAAATTGTTTGACTCTAAGCCAAGAAAACCTTATTTTAAAATCAATGTAGCCTCGATTGTCATTGTTACCACTGTCACGATAATTAACAAAGTCTCAATTATCCATTATTTGCGGTTAATCATCAATGGCAGATTGGATTTACTTCCAATGAAAACCGGACACATAAGATGGTATGGGGAGTTGATTATGTTAATTAATGTCTAATTAATAGTTTATATAACATTTCTGGCCTAAAGAAAGACCTGCAATAGGCAGATTTATTTCTGGTAAATAATATTTTTTTATGTGGCCTTAGGTGATCTGATGCAACCTTAACAAGATTAAGAGATGATTTCTCTTGATGATCAATGGTCACAACTAGTATGTGAAAGGGAAAGTAGAGTTATCCTCTAGTTTGATTATGCAAGCAGAACGTCAAACGTCAAAAACATACATCTTTGATGAAAACTTCACAATAAGCCGGGTATGACAACATTTTTCATTCACATGTCAAGCATGAAAATAACATACATTAAATTTGCTATTATTCTCAAAAGCCAAGTCTACTGACTGACATAATGTCTAGGTCAGCTAGCTGCATTCCAAAAATATGCTATTCATTCAATATTGCTACTTCAAACTGGTAATATATGTATGTACATAGATTAATATTTTATCGATATGAAAATTACATTTTCTTAAAAAGATGATTATACGAATCAGCAAAGATTGATTAATATTTCATCAATATAAAAATGATATTTTCTTAAAATGATGACAAGGATTAGTAAAGATTAATTATAGAAATCTTTAATATAACAATTTCACGATTAAATAATGCTAAAAATCAGCAAATTATTATTTATTAACAAACATGTATTAAATAAGAGTTTAAAAGTGATTTCTGCTTTGATAGAGAAATGTTTGTTTGCAGATAGGGGAGCCACGGTGGCTCAGTGAGTAAGATGTTTGCTCTGCGTTGGCAGAGAAAGTTCATAGGGATTTTCCAGCATGACAACATATAGTTGTTCGGATGGGACGGAAAACTAAGGTCCTGTGTACCCATTGGCATGCACGTAAAAGAACCCTTGACAGTTCGAATTTGAAATAAGAGTAGGCCGTAGCGCTCAGTGTTGTTTGGGCAAAATTTCCCTAATGGCCTATGCCCGTTTTCATCATCCCAGTCAGTGCAGAAAAGGAGGATGTTAAACCCATTTCATTTCATTTTGCATGCAGATATTTGCCAAGTAATACTTGGCTACTAAGAAAACAATTTTTATTCTCATAACTTCAGCAGTCACTGACCAGTAAACATGATTTGAATTTTGGCTGAAGTGTGTCAAACATCTGTCAGTGGTTGTTTTCAAGGATTGTGCAGACAGTACTCACAGATTCAATCTTGATATTTACTACAGAGAGATAGAGGGGTAGAAAACAAAACAAATGGGACTTAAATTTTGCTTGACACAAACTAGGTCATTTTGGGACTAACATGTTACAAGTTTATTTCAATAATTCGTTTGCGTGTAGAGGTCTTTAGCAATGGGAGGAAACCAGAGACAACCCCCGTACAAGCTGGGAATCCAAACTACTTGACTCCATGACAGACCTTCCAATCTAAAGCGCATGATTTTGGTCATTAAGCCCAGCCCCTCTCTCCAGGTTAGTAAGCTAGTCCCATACTCAAAGAGCCACGCAGTAATCGTTATAATGAATAAATGAAGTTTGTTCGACATGCAAAGGAAGTGATCTATAAACTATGATCATATTTAACTCACATAAACTTGAACACTTCAAAATTTAGATGAAAAAACTTTTAAAGTTAATATTAATTTCATACTTTACGGCACATCTTAAGACAAAAAATAAATATTGTTTGAGCAACTAAAAATAATGAAATGTAGTAAACTGTAATAATTATAGATACATGTCCATGCTAAAATAATTTGTTTTTTTTTTACAAATGTTAGGCAATTTCATGCAGTAACTTTAATTTATAAATGTTAGGCAATTTCTTGAATTGAACAAAGAATTTTTATAGGCATGCTTACATATACATTATAACATCTGAAGATGCTCGATAAAGAGCAGACAGTTAGCTTATGATTAGACGTCGATCAGAATGAAGTAAAAGGGGTTGAATTTTGTAACTGGACGTATTTTCTATTTATTTATGTAAGAGGTGATTTTTAAAATATGTGCTTCTGTGATTTGATTTTAGAAGAAGGAATTTGTGTGATATGTCCAATGGGAATTAATTGATGAATGAAACGGGGGTCAATGTTTCGTCAACATAATACTTGAGTCATTTTGAGAATAATATGTGGCAATTTACATTTCAAATGTTTCATGTACAATTGTGTAAACAATTTTGTTTTAGCATACTCAAATTTCAACTGCTAAGTGTTCTTTAACATGTAAATCAATGTGGACCACGTTTTCCCCATGCTATCCAAAAGATATGACACTCTTTGTCATTCCTGCAGGTCCCTTTATTTTTTTCAACATTTTTTGTTTGGCCTCTGAATGGTAAACTTTTCATTTCTTCTTTTATTAAGAAAATTCAATGGAGTTTTTATTCCCTTCTTTTTACCTTTTTGATTTAAAGGTAGATTTATGTACATAATGGTGCTATATGTTTCGATTTCTACCCATAGCCTATATGAATTGTCGACATGCCTCTGAGCATTAAGTATTAGTCCCCATTCAACATAACTTTACTCCAACAATAATTAAATGTACTCTATTACATTCTCAAAACTTGATAACGTTGAGAGTAAATAGTGAGATAATTCTAAAATTTCTGTGGTTGGTTAAAAACAAGCCATCCAACAAACTGTTAATGCATGCACTTAAAAAATCTGTTACAGTTTCAAAACCCCAATATCCAAAGGACAAGTCCAGTTGTGGATTTACAAAAATATACAACATCAGTTATATTTAGAAGAATAATAAACTTATCTAACAACATTTAAAGAATTGATACATTTAATTTGTTTAAACATTATGATAATCAACAACAGTTTATACAATATGATAAACAACATATACATAGTGAAAGATTTCGTCTAATTTTAAGGTGATATACTACGAGTAGTCATCAGTTTATAGGAGAAATCCCTTAAGTATATTTAATAATCAACAGTTTATAATACGATTTCCATATTGTGTATAAGGAAGGTCAAAAAAACCCAACATGTGTTTACGATTACCCTACCAAACCTATTTTATTAAAATTGTTGACCTTAAACTTTTTTCTCTCAGTCTTCTAGACCTTATTTTTGGTATCATTTTCAAGAATTTTACTCAGTAATTAAGCTAGAAATGCAAGAAAATAGATAATGCAAACCCAGAAAAAAATAAATATAATAAAAAAAAAGATTTTCAAATTGGCCAACCCTATTTGGGGGGGGGGGGGCGGGTCAAGTAACCATAATCACAGGTATTTTCTTTTCTTGACCTAACAAAGTTTGCCTAATTTGAAAGTGATCTATATATCCTGTACACGTTAATTTTCATCAGTTTAAAAGAAGAAATCCCAGATATAATTTAACTGAAAAAAAAAACCCTTACTCATTCTTTGTGTAGGGCTCTTAATTAGAATCTTTTATTCTAGCCTGAAGATCTTTGATGTTTTCCAAGAAATAATAATGACCAGTTGTCAGAAGGACGAATTGCTTGAATAGCCATCGTCTCGTGTCTGGATAAACTTGTCTGTAACTTATTATTTTTTTTTGCATGTCATAATTACCATGTGGCAAAATTTACAAACGGTATCGGGTAGTCACTTTTATCAGATTACTCTACAGAAAGTTGGAGGCAAGCTGCATAAATTCTGTAAACTATTTTGGCAATCTTTTCCACACAGCCCAATATTTTAATCTACCTGGTAGTCATATCTTTAGATTTTGGCATTTGACTTTCTTACATGTACATAAACATTTTATTTTGTTGTTTGGTGACCCAGTGAATATTGGGACTTCTCCTTTAAACGGAAATACTTGAATGATATAAACTATACAATAATCAACAACAAGCTTTAGACTAACAAAGTTAGTTTTTTCATAATAGCTGATAGAGATCATAGTTTCAACCTTAAAGGAGAACTTCAGCTATTGTATCATAATTCTATATTAAACTATACACAGCCATCTGGCTTTATGGATACGATGGTAATTAGAATAACACTGCATCCAAAGTCAAAATGGGAACGGAAAGATTATTTTTAAATGGTACTATATAACCTTATGAAACATTTCACCAAGTTTTAAAAATATTCCGTCTAATCGACTATTTTATATTGCGTTCACAAGATTTCATAAATTTGAACGTCAATGAGCAGACAAGCCCAAAATTTAAAAGCTTTAAAGTAAAAAATATCGTAACTCTGCAAATGTAAATGGGGAGAAAAGTCTAAAATTTTAGATATAAACAAATATCAAATCTCTGCAATGGCTGGAATCCTACTCATATTGTCTGTACTCATTAAATACAAATGAGCAACGAGGCCAATTTTTTTTTCTGACAAATAATTTCTATCAGTTAAAGATGATGAAAAATAATTTTAATATTTGATGTTCTCAAATAAACATAAACGAAGACTTATCACATCCCCTAGTACACCCACCACCAGCAATTTCCACTTTTTGAAATTTAAGATTTTTTAAATTCAATAGGAGTCTTCCTTATGTTCCAATATACATGTATTCTGTTAAAGACCCATGTCCTGTATTGCGAACATTAATGGGTGAATATCTCAGCGATTTGAGAATGAAAAATTCTGAATAAGATTTGAACAAATCTAAACAAGACAACTTTGCAAAATCATGATCCCTTTCCTGTATACATTTACCTAGATTTCATAAATCTAAATGTAAACAGGGGGGGATAACTCTGATTTTTAATCGTAAAAATTCTTTATTAGTTCCAAATGAGAAATTCTACTGAGTTTTTAGAAAAAATATAATTACTAATTTTGTCCTGTGACACGTTTACAAGTTTAAAATGTCCAAGAAAAATTAACTCTTCCAAACATGTTGAAAATTTACATTATTTAGGACTCTTCTTTACACCCTAATGAACAATCCCATCCTTGACCTTGACATTGTATCTGGACAATTCGGACGGAAATGATGACAATATACGACCACATTAAATGTGGGCGTATAAAAATATTTTTCGTAGCAATATATATATATATATAAATCTATATTTCATGCATTCACAAAATTGTTATTTTTTAAAAAATGGCATCGCACATTGAACACAAAGAAAGACAATTAGGCCTTGACAGTCGCATATTGATAAATAGATATAATTTCACAGGAATAAATAGAAAGCAGATACCACTTGATATAAACTATAACTACATAATAATAGTACAATTGAGGGCTGGAAACGATTGGACGACAGGTGGAGTTTAAGCCAGTCAAATTTGATTTAATACTGGTCTTTGTCCAATGACAAGCCCCGATACAAAACTACAATATATAAATATACAATCTTGATTCAGCTGCCCACTAAAGCAAAAATCATTTATGATAGCAGAAATATATAACTCTTCTAATTTTACCTCTAGACTCTGGGTTTGACCCAAGGTCGTACAGTTCGCATGGCTCCAGGTGATTGACACACCTAACGACTGTTACAGGACGAACAAATCAATTTCATAACAAGAAAAATACTGTCAATATTGATGGAATATACAGCTTAAGTAATCTCAAACAAATGAAATGGATAAGCCTGAGATCTTGTTTCGAGTCTTTAAATTTACAGAATCAGAAATTGAGTCATAAATTTACAGAATCAGAAACTGACTCATAAATTTACAGACTCAGTAGTTGAGTCGTTGAGTCATAAATTTACAAAACAGACATGTCATAAATTTACAGAATCAGAAAATCATAATCAGAAATTTGCAGAATCAGAAATCATAATCATATTTAAATAATCAGAAATCATAATTTACAGAATCAGAAATTATAGTCATAAATTTATGGAATCAGAAATCTAATAATAAACCAACATAAAATCCAGTCATAAATTTACAACACTGGTCATATACCTAAAATTTACAAAATAGTCGATCATGTGATAAATTTAAATAAGATCTGGTCAAGTTCATAATGAGAAATCTAGATACAAAATTACAGAAATAGAAATCTAGTCATACATTTACTGCAAAATGAAGGAACTAGAAATCTAAGCATGAATTTACATGAAATCTAGTTGGAAAATTAATGAACTCGAAATCTAGGCATAAATGTATTACATAACAACCTAAGTTACACAATTAAGGAATTTGAAATCTAGAACATAAAATGGTTATATCTAGTTGTAAATGTCGAGCACAGGGCCAAATCAAATGAATATTTAGTTCTTCAGGGTTCTGATCAATTAATATCCTCTTGAGTCCCATGAAGAATTTCTTTCTTTAAAATTTCAAAACTTATAAATGTGCAACTAAAATAGTAAACAAATACTTTTTGTTTTTAAATTTACCAAATAAGAAGTTGTGTATTAAATTTACAGAATCAGATATATGGTAGTCATAAATTTACAGAATCAGATATGAAGTAAAAAATTTATAGAATCATAAATCTGAAAAACAAAAATTCAAATGGGAAAGGCCTAAGCCATCTACAATAGTCACCTATGTTTTAAATAAATAAATATTGAGACAAAGAAATCTATTATGATTGTTACAAAAATCTAAGCTAATAGTACAAAAACGTTTATTTTATGATCTTATTAAAACATGTTGATTATATTCAAGCACCAGATTAGTTTTAAGACAAAGGTTTAATAATTAGTTAAATGCTGAGAAATTATCTAAGGCCATACCATAAAATTATTTTGGTTCTCAGAAAATCCTTCCAAACAATCTGATAGAAGAGGGAGGTTTTTACTTTTGTGTTTTCATTTTGTCAAAGGATTAAGTCACTACTGGGCTAAATGGATTCTCACATCACATTTCACGGAACTACATTTACCTCATCATGTCGTTTATAGGAATGTAGGATTATCTAGTGTCATCAAGAATGTCAGGGTTGCGTACGCTTCAAATTTTATTTTTACTTCCTGTAACTGAGGAAATATATTTACAAGGGATAATTGACAAGATTGTTATTATTTCTTATATTTTGAAATAAAAACAGGTCATGCGGCCCTTTTTAAGTGACGCAGGAGTGGCTGTGAACCAGAATATTTTTTTTTTGTATGGCCTTATCAAGCTTTAAAATCTCAGTAGTCCCAGTCTATATTTATGTTTTTATTTTGTGGTATCAAAATATATAGTAATGAAGAAATTAATTAGTTAATTATAATGTTTCTGGGTGGTTTTTTTTAAAGTGATAAGCAAGATCTACAGAATAGAACTATACATGTTTTCAATTTTAAGTCACTGGGTCTACTATGACTTAAAAGCAAAGATGCAGTCAAATTATTCTGTGTGAACACACTGTATAATGCATGGAAATTCAGGCCATATTATCTTGAGTCAGCCTAATCTTGAAACAGCTAAACCACTTTGATTTAGTTTAAAATAAAGTATTGAATTAGATGGATCTTGCGTTATTTTGATTAATAATTAGACAAGATATACAAAACTTTACGTTTTCAAATATATGTGGAAGTCGGTTTGTCTACTAATTTCAGTGCACATAATGTCTGAATTAATCGATGGTTGGAACACATAATTGATTATATCTCAACTTCGGTATCTACGGAACAAAAATCTCAAATGTAGACAGATCCCCATTAAATTAAAACACGTTTTGTTAACCAAATCAAAGAGTTTTAGTCATTTTAAAAGACATCTTGGTCATAAATGTCAGATTCTCTCGTCAACATAATACATAATTTGTGACATGTAGCAGAACATATAAGTCAAACAAAAATTATATATAAACTATAACACATACTTATGGAAAACAGCTACTAGTTCATTTGGATGACATTTCGAAGAGTATTTACTAAACGTTATCCAGCTAATTAAGTAAAACAAATTGTGAGGCAAACAAATACTCTTTGAAACATTGCCTTTAAAAGATTAAAATAATATGTTTCTTATAACGTAAGCTTTGACATACGGCAGGGAATAATACTGAGAGGTGGATAAGAAAATCCCTGAGAACAAATAAAGCTACATATTTAAGAAAAAAGCTATCTTTTTTTTCTCCTCGCAGCAATGAATTAAATAATTGATAATCGCTTACAACAGTTAGTATTTAAATACAGAAACAATGAATGTACACGATTTTATCAGCAGTAGGAGATTAAAAATGAGTTAAAAGTTATCCAAAAATATTTCTTATAAAATCTTATTTTTAATTTGATCTAGATCTGGAGACTACAAACTGGAGTCACATGGATACAGCAAAGGTACAAAGATATAGACCTTATATACTACATCATAATGAGTTTAAAGTAAGGGGAAAATTTCTAAAATATGTCTGATTTACCATGCTAACAAGCCGGTCCTATTTCAATAATAGCATTAATTAACAAAGTTAATAAATTCTATACTTCTACACAAAACTTAAGTTAATATTAGCAATAATGTTAACAAGTTTATAAGCCTACACTTCAATAAAAAACATAACCTATGTTAATATTATTAATTATACTTCAATACAAAATTTATGCTATCATTATAAATTATACTTCAATACAAGATAGACTTTGTGAATATATTTATCAACAAAGTTAACAAGTTTATAAACCCTATACTTAAATACAAAACTTAAGTTGATATCATTAATTATACTTCAATACAAAACTTACGTTAATATTATTAATTATACTTTAGTATAAAACTTCTGTTATGATGGAATTACTTCTACATTGTGAATATATTTATCAACAATGTTAACAAGTTTATAAACTCTATATTCCAATATAAAACTCATGTTCAGTTGGACTTAATTGTTAATATATTTATCAACAATGTTAACAAGTTAAATTAAAGCCCTATATTCCAATAAAGTTCATAAACTTTATGCTTCAATACAAAAGTCACAAAATTAAATTTTAAGCTAATTATTCTTGGTAGCAGTGTGATAGATCAGTGTGACTAAAAACAAGGACAACAACTCTTAATTACCAACATAAATAAACAACCACAGCGTAACAAAATTTAACAAATAACACAGCATTTTCTCAGCATTTAACCAAACGTATTTTATGTCATGGCTGCTTAATCAATGGATAGCACCATTTTTATTATTACGGGACCTAAGATTATGTGAGGAATGCAAAGCTTTCTGGGATGGAGTTGGAACTTCTGCTATGTTGTTGTTGCTTATTTCTTCCGGAATATCATTCTTTACGTCTCGTTTGATATAAAACTTCCAGATCGTGTAGACGACTAATCCCACTAATCCCACAATCCACATGGCAGCGATAGGTTGGGGCAGTGGCTTACTTATCGTCTTCCAGTCAAACTTGGCAATGATTAAGAATTCTGTGATAATAATGGAAGCGATCAACCATGACTGACGTCCAAATTTTTTACAATTCCTAAAAAATAAATTAATGGAAATTTAGATCACAAAATTTAATGGAAATTTAGATCACAAAATTTAATGGAAATTTTGATCACAAAATTTAATTGAAACAAAATAATATACAGAATTAACAGAAAAAAAGCCATAGCTAGAATTTCTAGATTTAACAGCTTATGGAAATCTTTAATAAATAATTATTTTGCAAAATAAAAAACAATTTTACGTTCTTACATTGGGTTAATGTCAAATACAAGACAGCCCTTACAAAACATAGACAGGGGCCTTGTCAAGTCACCTATTACCTCGACTAGAAAATGAAAATGAAATGGGGTTGAACGTCCTACTGTTCTGCTCCGACTGGGCTAATGAAGACAGGCATACACCGTCATATCCTTATGACAATACCTTGCCAGGCACTTTCTCTGTCAACACCGTGATCAAACACGGTATGTCCTGGTTAAAGAGCCAAATGCCCACAAGAAGAAACATTGTCAACAAATACAAGTGGTGATAAATCCAACCATGTTTTTAAAAATTCCATGATGAAATCTGTCCTGTATCTTGTTTACATGCCTGCCTTACATGGTGATACAGCCACATTTTACGATAAAAAAATTATGAACTATGACAAGGTTAATATTTTTCCATCAAGGATTAAACAATTCCACAGTGTCACGTTCACAGGTTCAAAAGTCAAAATGTAAATGAAAACATAAATCAGAGAGAAAGAGAGAAATGGGGTTTAACATCCACTTGACACAAACTAGGTCATTTCGGGACTAACACATTTTAATAATTGAGTCATAAATTTACGAAATCAGAAACTGACTCATAAATTTACAGACTCAGAAGTTGAGTCGTTGAGTCATAAATTTACAAAACAGACATGTCATAAATTTACAGAATCAGAAAATCATAATCAGAAATTTGCAGAATCAGAAATCATAGTCATATTTAAATAATCAGAAATCATAATTTACAGAATCAGAAATCATAGTCATAAATTTATGGAATCAGAAATCTAATAATAAACCAACATAAAATCCAGTCATAAATTTACAACACTGGTCATATACCTAAAATTTACAAAATAGTCGATCATGTGATAAATTTAAATAAGATCTGGTCAAGTTCATAATGAGAAATCTAGATACAAAATTACAGAAATAGAAATCTAGTCATACATTTACTGCAAAATGAAGGAACTAGAAATCTAAGCATGAATTTACATGAAATCTAGTTGGAAAATTAATGAACTAGAAATCTAGGCATAAATGTATTACATAACAACCTAAGTTACACAATTAAGGAATTTGAAATCTAGAACATAAAATGGTTATATCTAGTTGTAAATGTCGAGCACAGGGCCAAATCAAATGAATATTTAGTTCTTCAGGGTTCTGATCAATTAATATTTTTCCATCAAGGATTAAACAATTCCACAGTGTCACGTTCACAGGTTCAAAAGTCAAAATGTGAATGAAAACATAAATCAGAGAGAAAGAGAGAAATGGGGTTTAACATCCACTTGACACAAACTAGGTCATTTCGGGACTAACACATTTTAATAATTTGCTTGTGCGTAGCGGTCTTTAGCAGTGGGAGGTAACCGGAGAACCCGGAGCAAATCTACAAGGCTAGACAGGCTACCGTACTCCTTGTCAAGTACAACCGGGGAAAAGAAAACATGCCAGTTGACTCAATGACAGACCTTATGATATAATGCGAACACGCTAACCATTCGGTAACCACTACCCCCTCTCCCACAAAGATAAATAGATAAATCAGCAAAATGTTTGAAATCTAAATGGAATGAGATGGGGTTAAGCCTCCTATATGTTTGTATGAACCAAGCATAATCTAGGATACACCTTTCTGCACCATCTTTCGAAAGAGACCACATAAAAACCATCTTGCTAAAATTTTGACATTGTGCACATATCAGCAAATAATCTCTTTTGCTATTGAGATTTATATTGGAGTTTAGGTTCAGTAATATTTTATTTTGGCCTCGTTACTTTTCATAAAAATGATTTTTACTTACGGATCATCCAAGTACTGGAACGTTTCTCTCATAGCAGCAGCTCCCATAAACAGGACGAAAACTAAACGTCCCAGACACAGCCAGTGTTCAGGTGGAATCCACAGAGCAAATTTCAGATAGAATGTATTAAGTTCAGCTATCAGGAACTAAAATAAAAGCAAATATTCATCATAAAATGTTTAGCGTTTATTTGAGATGCCATTTTTCTTTGCAAGCTTTACCCAATACCGGTAGTCTCTTTCATCAGACTATTTATAAGGACACTGCTTCTCTTTCTAGGACTGACAAAAACAAAAATGTACCAATGATCCTTTGACAGCTTTTTGGGGCTATAGGAAATCAATAAGCATTTTTCGTCTTGTGACCAGAAATTTTGTACAAATTTCAATGCATAAAATTACCTCTCTGCCTCTGCAGATTCTACTCTTATCGCCTCTGTTTTGCGGACTGACACAACAGAGACAGGATTGAATTCTGTGTCACGCCATTGCAATTCTGTCAATTTGGGACGTTCCAGACTGAAAATCGAGCACCCAGCTGGTAAATAAAAATGGGCAGTAACTAGTAGACTATTTGCATGAGAAATAACAAGTTTAATATTTATACTAACTATAGCAATAAGAACAATCATGGATGACCATCGAGTTAAACTTGTAAATGGCTTCCAATCAAAATCAGTCCAACTGTATGGAGTAAATTGAGCAGCTACACGTTTCAACATACCCCTGAAAGTTAAAATAAAGTTATTATTATTTATAATGTTTCATTACGGAGAATGTCATGATCGACATCATCATGCAAATGATGGAAAAAAAATTGATATTCTAATTTGTAGATAGGCAATAGAATGAAATGAAATGGGGTTTAACGTCCTGTTGTTGTGCCTCAACTGGCCTTATTTCCAATTCCAAAGATCAAGGTTTCTTTAACGTGCACGACCAAATTTCCATCCCATCCTAATGACTAGGCTTTGTGCATCACTGACAAGAGAAAGAACGCCGGAAAATCCTAAAGAACTTTCTTGGGCAACACATGAAAACAATACTGGTTACTCCTGCATATTCAAAATGGAAGAAATGAATAAGGCCTCTAGAGTGACAGACCGACCGATTGCAATATACGACCACATTTCAAACCGAAAGTCAAAAGCTATTTGTCCCTAAACATCTTTCATGTGATTCAGGTGGCTATTTATTTATCAGAACCCGATGAACTGAATATTAAATTTGTTTGGCCTTATTGGAAAGTCTTGACATTCTCAGCTATTCATACTTCTAAACAGTCCTCTTAAACCCGACAGGGAGAGCAATTATGTGAGCACTGCATTTCCAAATGTCAGTCTCTGCTATTAATACTTACTTGTAGGTAGGCATGTTCCACATACTTCTCCAATGATAAGGCTTCATTGATAAATATCGTAACGTTTTCATACCTAGATATATACCCAGGCCGTTACATACTAATGCATCCATTATCCACTGTAACAATATAAACAAAGTGTTGACATTACAATATCACTCCATCAATTTGATTTAAATCCAGGGTATGAGAAAATCCTCAAGACAGTGGTACATGTTAAAATTTTAAACTAATCGAAATCACAATGTAAGCAATAATATATGTAGTGATTATCAAGGGGGGGAGCAAAGGTCGCGACATGAACCTTACTTAATGAATGAATAAGCAATGAACAGACCAGCCTACATGCTAGATTTGGGACTGCTAGAGAAAATGGTATTAACATGTTTGTTAGCAAAAGTGGTACACACGACTTGAGAGCATTCCATTTTTCTCTTTGAAAATACTATCAACTATAGTAAATAATGTATGTTTGCTACTTAATTTCGGCTATAAAATAGTGATTTTTCACATGCAATTTACATGGTTTCCACCCTATAGTTACATAGCAAGGGCTTTCAGTACTAGAGAGGCAAAGACTTTTTCAGACTGTTTTACTAAAATGTTGACATTTTTATATGAACACAAACATAAAAGAGGGAGGACATAATTATTAATTAATGGGTATTATAGCTAGGCTAGAGTCCAGAATGCAGAGAAAACTTTGCACTTCTTTACACCTTAGCCAAGGTTTCGACTACAAACCCAACCCCACCCCCAACCTGCCAGGCTAGTGTTACCACACTGTTTATGTTTTCACTTTAAGAGTTTGTGACAAGTACTTTCGTTCTTCATACTGTGCTTTTGTTTTTTCAAAAAACAGTACTTTTGTTTTTTCAGAAAACAGTACTTTTTGTTTTTTCAGAAAACAGTACTTTTTGTTTTTTCAGAAAACAGTACTTTTTGTTTTTTCAGAAAACAGTACTTTTTGTTTTTTCAGAAAACAGTACTTTTGTTTTTTCAGAAAACAGTACTTTTGTTGTTTCAGAAAACAGTACTTTTGTTTTTTCAGAAGATAGTAATTTTATTTTTGCAGAAGACAATACTTTTGTTTTTCATAAGATAGTATTTTTGCTTTTCAGAAGACAGTATCTGTCATGCTTCTTAAGATAGTATTTTTGCTTTTCATAAGACAGTATCTGTCATGCTTCATAAGATAGTATTTTTGCTTTTCATAAGACAATATCTGTCATGCTATATAATTGTAACATAACACTGGACCTCATCACCAATGAAATCCAGCAAAGGTTAAGCTCCAAATGTTAGGTTTTACAAATGAATAAAATTAAAACACTTACATGATCCCACCAACATTCACTGAAGTTAGGTAACTGATGTTCTAATGTGTATTCTAAAACTTCAAACATTATACTTAATACTGTACATAACCACCAATCTCTCAATATCAATGTCTGAAAATAAACAATATCAATGTCTGAAAATAAACAATATCAATGTTTGAAATTAATAATATCAATGTTTGAAATTAATAATATCAATGTCTGAAATAAACAATATCAATGTCTGAAATTAATAATATTAATGTCTGAAATTAATAATATCAATGTCTGAAATTAATAATATAGATGTCTGAAATGAATAATATCGATGTCTGAAATAAACAATATCAATGTCTAAAAGTAAAATAAACAATATCAATGTTTAGACAAATATCAATGTCTAAAATAAACAATATCAATGTCTGAAATAAACAATTAAACACAATAATTCATTTACAAACTAATAATTATTTATAAGCCTGGAATAAGGCACCGGTCATATACATAGAGGATTCATCAATCACAATTCCAATAGTGTTGGTTAATTTGTTAGGCACAAGTTTGTCTTCTTATTGTTATTTTCACTACATTTAAAACAGTTTCAGGTACCTTGTTAGGTACAATCATTACAGCCTGTATTTCCAGACAGGAATATTACAATATGGAATATGGCAATATTGTGATGCAATATAAAAGATGGAATGGAATGGAATTTAATGTCTCTTTATGATAATACTTTGCTGATTTTGAGATTTACATAGTTAATTTTCTGTATTCAAGTGTGGAATGCCAGGAAGGTGAACGTTGCATGTAATAAACCAAGACGTTGTTATGCCTCTATTTCTAAATGTCATTTAAGGATATTTGCTACAGTTGTTTTTTTTTACATTTCTTGGGTTTTTCCCCCCATCAGAAAATAAGGATAATTACAAAACTTACTTTTAGCCACCAACCAAAGAAATGTGTTGGAACAAACCCATCAAGCTTATCCTGCAAAAAATAATAAACAAAAATATTAATGTCTAACATTGAAAGGTTTTAAAAGAAAGGTGCATGGTGGTGCAAGCATGAAATTCCAACAGTCTTAGTGTATTTAAATGTATTATGTACACAAGCTTTGGTATTCTGTTTTGAGAGAGAGAGAGATGGTGTTTAATGTCCACTCGACACAAACTAGGTGATTTCGGGACTAACACATGGTTCAATTTTTATTTCAATAATTCACTTGCGCATAGGGGTCTTTAGCAGCAGAAGGAAACTGGAGGACCCGGAGAAAACTCACGAGGTTGGACAGGCGACCCTACTCCTTGTCACATTTGGATTAAGACGTTAAAATAGTTACTGAAGGCAAAATGCAAATGACAATTCAGCGGCTAAATATTTAAACTTGATTACAGAATAAAACCCTTCTCATTTTCAAGTTTTCCTGCTGACCATGATGACGATGATTCCCCTCCCCACCATCACTACATCGAGTATTCGAAGTATTTTAAACATCATATCACAGATACAGCAGATTAGTATACAGCTTACCTTTAAATTATGCCAGGGGTCACTGGGGTTTGAGTAATCATAAATATCACATTTTGCACCATAACTTTTTTCTGGTAGAGGTCGACCGAGACTTGGGTCCAGGTGAGTTAATAAATGGCGAGCGGTATCAACAGTCTACAATAAAATATATAAGTATCAAGGGTACATGTATCTAATAGATTTTATTTGTTGTATGCTACAAAGGTTGATCGGTGGGTCACGGTGGCTAAGTGGGTAAGACATTGGCTCACTAGCCTGAAGGTTGGGTGTTCGATCCCTGCATTGGCAGAGAAAATGCATCCATATTTTCCAGCGTGGATGCCCCTTGTCAGAGCTGCCATCATTAATATGCCTGCCATTTTGGATATTGACCCAAAGATTACCCACATTTTGAAGACTAGAAAACTTTCGGAACACTTTCAACGTGTATAAAATGTCAAATAAAATTTTATAAACAAAGATAGGTTGCCAGGCAACGAAACATACGCCCACAGCAGCTATATCGTCCGGGCAGTGAACAAGAGTTGTCGCATATTTTTATTTTTTTCGGTAATGAAACATTTATAATACATTAAAATCTGAGTAAGAGTAACAACTCATTAAGTAATTATCAGAAAACCATTAGAATTTGTTTGGTTTTTATAAAGTTCTGCCCCATGCTAACGTTTAGTATACAAAACTTTTAACATCATGGATTTAGCTGTTCAAGTCATAAAAATTCATTGAAAATCTCAAGACCTTAAACTCTGTGTATCAATCTGAAGTCAATCGGATTATAACTTTAGCCTCTAGACCGTCACAAGATTTTTCAAAGTGATTAAGGGCCACAACTTTGGCAGAAATTATCGGAAATTGTTGAAAATCAATATGATTCTCACTCTCATGACCTCAAACACTGTGTATCAATTTAAAGTCAATCGGATATTAACTTTAGCCTCTAGAGCATTTACAAGATTTTTTGAAGTGATCAAGGGCCATAACTCTGGCAGTAATTATCAAAAATCGCTGAAAATGAATAGACTTCTTCATCTCATGACCTTAAACACTGTGTATCAATTAAAAGTCAATCGGATATTAACTTTAGCCTCTAGAGCGTCCACAAGATTATCAAAGTAATAAGGGTCATTACTCTGGCAGTAATTATCGGAAATCGCAGAAAATCAATAGGCTTCTTCATCTCATGACCTTAAACACTGTGTATCAATTTAAAGTCAATCGGATATTAACTTTAGCCTCTAGAGCGTCCACAAGATTATCAAAGTGATCAAGGGTCATAACTCTGGCAGTAATTATTGGAAATCTCAGAAAATCAATAGGCTTCTTCGTCTCATGACCTTAAACACTGTGTATAAAATTAAAGTCAATCGGATATTCGCTTTAGCCTCTAGAGCGTCCACAAGATTATCAAAGTGATCAAAGGTCATAACTCTGGCAGTAATTATCGGAAATCACAGAAAATCAATAGGCTTCTTCGTCTCATGACCTTAAACACTTTAGCCTCTAGAGCGTCCACAAGATTTTTCAAAGTGATCAAGGGCCATAACTCTAGCTGTAATTATCGGAAATCGCTGAAAATCAATAGGCTTCTTCGTCTCATGACCTTAAACACTGTGCATAAATTTAAAGTCAATCAGATATTAACTTTGACCTCTAGAGCGTCCACAAGATTTTTTGAAGTGATCAAGGGCCATAACTCTGGCAGGATTATTATAAATCGTTGAAAATCAATAGGTTTCTTCGTCTCATGACCTTAAACACTGTGTATAAATTTATGACAATTGGATATCAACTTTGACCTTTAGAGCGCTCACAAGATTTTTTGAAGTGATCAAGGGCCATAACTCCTGCAGTAATTATCGAAAAATCGCTAAAGATCAATAGGCTTCTTCGTCTCATGATCTTAAACACTGTATAAATTTAAAGTCAATCCGATATTAACTTTAGCCTATAGAGCGTCCACAAGCAATTGTGGATGCCGGACAGATGGACAGGGGCGACAACAATATACGACCACATTTCAATGTGGACGTATAAAAATGAATTCTCTGTGTGACATTTTCTTCTCGAACTACCCAGACACAATTCATTATACTATATAATACAGGGACATAACTCTATGAATAGGGACTATTAAACCTGAAATAGGGAATCAAGTAGTACCACTCAAGTTGCGAGACATGTCAATTTCAAGTAATTATATCAGTATTCATTTTGAAAGAAGTAAATCCAGTGTATCCCCCACGTATTGTAAATAAAATATAAAAAAATAAATACATGTTAACGTATTGTAAAATGATAAATCAAAGTAAGAATTTCTGTAAAATATTATATTGTGTGTGTGTCTAGTTAATCAACGTGTGTCAGATTGAACAAAAATAGTAATACACTATAAAAAGCAGACAAAATTGTTTTCTAACAAAGATTTCTAACGCAACGAAGAAATAATTAAAATCAGTGGGGCTTCGGAAGTCACTGCCAAGAATTGGCTTCAGACATAAGACCTAACTAAAAGTCTACATCACATTCACAAACTGTCACAACTACATGTGGCAGTGCTAAAAAAATCCAAGAATGAAATCTAATCATAATTTCAAAGTAATATCTTGTTATTTAGGTTGTTTTATGTTGAAACTGAAAAACTGCTAATCAATTTTTAAATTTGCTAATCAAATTTGAAAAAATTGGACTTGGACTTTTTGATTAGCAGTGCTGCTAATCAACTGTGAAAAATTACCGACAGCTGTGGTCTTCATTAGCCCAGTTCAGAGTAGAACAGTAGGACATTCAACCCCATTTCATTTCATTGATTGGTAAACAAGGTACTGTCTTAGTCTCACTATATCTTATTATTCCTTACTACACAATAAACAATTCTATGGCATATAATGAAATGAAATGAAATGGGGTTTAACGTCCTACTGTTCTGCTCCTAACCTGGGCTAATGAAGACAGGCATACGCCATACAGTGTGCTATGAGTGAAATTTTGCCCGGGCAGCGGCACTATCGCCTACTCTTATATCGAATTCCAACTGCCAAGGAATCTTTTACGTGCACGCCAATGTGTACACAGGACCTCGGTTTTTTGTCCCATCCGAACGACTAGACAGCTTTCATTGTCAGACCCTCCATCCTGCATCACTGACAAGGGGAAACCACCTATGGCATATAATTACATGTACAGTTTATTACTGAGCAATGTTTAGACTAGGACTATCTTGTCTTTATTAAAGGAGCTAAATCGCTATATTGTTTGGCACCTAGAAATGGCGAAAATGTCACGCAACACAGAGAATAATGTAATATGAAAGTATATAAACTGATTTGCTGTCAATCGTTTCTGTTTTTACTGTAACTTCTAATCAGTTATGTTCGGCAAAATATGTGACGAGTGCAAACAGAATGGCAGTCTTTGGCATCTGGTTATCCCAGTTTAGAACGGTAGTATTCTCCTGTGTGGTTAGTTTTGTTCATCGAGTCACTTCATTACAAATGGTGCTCGAAAGCATTGTGTGCCAATTTAAAAATTTTCATTTTGTCTTAAATATTGGATATAAGAAGCCAATCTCTTCAAAATAAGATAACAAGATCAATGTTGATTTAAATTGACCAATAAGTACTAAGTGTTTGCAATGTCGAAGACTGTGGATGATATTGAGTCAAAGACTTGGCTCCTTTAAATAATAATAAGATCTGATAAGGATTAGAGAAACCTATCCAAAACATCAGTCAGTAGTAAGCAGTAATTATAGTCCATAGATTGTAGTAATTGTAGTAATTATAGATCATGAACTAAAGAGTTTTTGTGAGTCGATTAGATTAGGTTTTGATTTGCTAGTACGATTTGGTATGATTTCGATTTGATTAGCTATGGTCCACAAATGTGAAATTTGATAATTACGATTTGGTAAGATGGCTGCCATCACGGACACCGATCAGAAAAAAAATTGTCTCTGCTAACATGACGAGGGGGGCGTGTGTTTCACGTGCAGTCCAAGTTACCTACAGATTACAGTGACACTGCTGGCACCCAGAGGGCCTAAAATTGCTTAGAGCCAGAGGTGATCTAACATTCTTGTGGACTATAAAGTTAACATTAAAGGAGCTAAATCGCTAACATTTGGGACCTAGAAATTGACAAAAGTGGGTCGCAATGCATATAATACTGTAATATGAATGTATATAAACTGATTTACATTCAATGGTTTCCGTTTTTACTCCAATTTCAAATCCGTTTTGTTCGGCGAAATAAGCCAGCAGTCTCAAGCGAGTGCAAATTTCTAGCGTCACGTCTGGTTATTCCAGTTTACATACGCCGTTTGATTTGGTGCAATGTGTCTAGCCTCGTCCCTCGAGTCTCTTGATACAACTAAGGCTGAAGCGCATTATGGTACACGATTCGTGTACCAATGGTAAAATGTTTATTTTGTCTTAAATATTGGATATCAAAAGCCCATCTTTTCCCGTTAAGATCACAACATGAATGTTGATATAATTTGACAAATAAATCGTGTTTTCAATGTTGAAGATTTTGGATGATATTGAGTTAGAGACTTAGCTGCTTTAAACACATCAAATGCGTTTTAAAAAAACATTTTTTATGGAGAAAAACAACAATAAGCATTAAAAATTACTTACGATGTCGAACATTCCGCCATTTTGAAAACGTCAAATCTAATCGCCTAAACACCTCCTGGGACGATTAGGTCGATTTGCCTAATCAGTTGAGTTAAATCGTCTCACAAATGTAACGATTAGCATAATCAACTTGGTTCAAAAATGCGTATAATAGCTAATCGGTCTAATCTAATCGGTTCACAAAAACGCCTTAAATATTGCTCAAACAGTTTAACTGCTGCTAAACCTTAAAGTCATATCAAACATTTTCCAAAAACATTTCAAATAAAGTAAACATATAAAACTCACGCTAAAAACATTTCAAATAAAGTAAACATATAAAACTCACCTGAAACAGCAGAAAAACTAAGGCAAGTTCATAAACAATACTGAGGCACAATACAAGTCGCCAGAAAGCTGGATGGGGGCGTACAAACACCCCATCAGGTGTCTGGGTCACACCAAATAATAAGAAGGCGAAAATAACAGCCAATAAGCCTCTGTAAGAAAGCAGATAAAAATATATTAATGAACTTTGACCTTATACTTAACCATGCATTATGCAAGAGCTAAATCTGCCTATTGTAGGTCTTTCTTTAGGCCTGAAATGTTATATAAACTATTAATTAGACATTAATTAACGTATCCAGACCATAATCAACTCTCGATGTCAACGCTAGCCTGCGATATTTGTTGGATTATGATGCGATTTGCTGCATAACTTTCCTTCTCGATTTAACGATTAAATGGATAATCGAGACTATGATTTTTGTCCTACCGACTTTAGTAATGATGACCGAGGCTATACTATCTATCATTTATGAAACCAGGAATGATCCCTTAACATGCAGTTATTGATCTTCAGAACCATTTCCCATACACACAACTAATCACTCTCCTTAATATCAGATCACTCTCCTTCATTTCTAAATCACTCTCCTTAATATCATATCGCTCTTCTTATCGAAACTGGGAGAGCTTTTTTAGGGGAGTGATTTTTTTCAATTTGTTGATCTAGATCAAAATAAGGCCCCAAACAATTTAAGAGTGTTTGTGTAAATATTTATCAGTTTGTACTTTGACTTTAATGACAGACCTTATGATATAAAGCGCAAACCTTAGATCATTCAGCCACCGCCAACTCCCCTACTGTTTTTATTTTATTAACCAGAGGATGAAATAAGAAATAACATACCTTTTGGTATTATAATCAGCGTCATCAACAACATCTTCCAAAAACGCAACATAGAATAACATACATGAAAAAACCACCAATACAGATATTGTGTGAGCTCTCCTGAAAAAAATACAAATTATTAAACATAGAGGATTCAGTCACAGTATTATTATTAGTCGATCGGATGGGACGACTAATGTTTATTTGTCCACTCAAAACAAACTAGGTAATTTTGGGACTAACACATGGTTCAATTTTGTTCCAATAAATCGCTTGTGCGTAGGAGTCTTTAGCAGTGGGAGGAAACCGGAGGACCCAGAGAAAACCCACAAGGTTGGACAGGCGACCCTACTCCTTGTCACATACAACCGGAGAATCAAAACCACGCCAGTTGTTTCAATGACAGACCTTATCATACATGTTAACCATTTGGCCATCCCCCCCCCCCACACACACACACGCAAAAGAAACCTTTACAGTTGGAATTTGATGAAGAAAAGACGCAAACACAGCAAAATGTCCCTCATAGCACACTGCATGGAGTCCAGATAAGATAAGCTTGGAGACAGATATTATACTGCAACAAAATCTCAAAATCAATCAATAATAAGACAAACTTATTTTATTATTTATATAAATGATAACAATGAAATAAAACTAATCAACAATACGTAAAACAACACTGTCACAGATGACATAACTATAAAAGGCAGCTTGTCGGGTGCAGCTTAGACTTAGAGGAGGATTGAGATGGTGTAGTGGTCTGGAGCGTTGCACTTCATCGAGCTCTAATTGACTGGTTAACTCTGCATGAAGTTGTGGTTTTAAGCGTATGTGGCCTTTGAGATACTAGCACCTTCTCAACCTTGTGGAATTACTCAGAGTAGTCTGGTTTCCTCCAACAGGAAAGACCCCTGCATGTGCGCCAAGTTAAATAAAAAAAAAATAAAAAAAAAAGAAACTTGCGTCTGCTATATCATTCTTGCTGATGAAAGTGGACATTAAAAACCATGAACAACGACGAACGTGCCTTGATTTACCCTTTTCTGTGTTTTTAATAAACATCTGGCACAAAGTTAAAGAGAGAGAGAGAGAGAGAGAGAGAGAGAGAAATGGGGTTTAACATCCACTTGAAACAAACTAGCTCATTTTGGGACTAACATATGATTCAATTTTATTTCAATAATTTGCTTGCACCTAGGGGTCTTTAGAAGGAGAAAAACGGAGATCCCGGCAAAAAAACATGAGGTTGGACAGGTGACCCTACTCCTTGTCTCGTACAACCGGGGAATCGAAACCACAGCATTTGACTGACTCAATGACAGACCTTTCTCTAATTCTAGACCTGTTCTGATACCTTGGGGTAATATAGCATACTGTATACTACTCCATGGGAAATGATCAAAGGCACGGTACAATACATTGTAAAATATCAACTTTTTAAACATCCTTAAACGTCCATTCGATACAAACTAGGTCATTTCGGGATTAACATATGGTTCAATTTTATTTCAATAACTTGCTTGCAAGTAGGGGTCTTTAGCAGTGGGAGGAATCGGACAAAACCCACGAGGTTGGACTGGCAAACTTAAAGTGCGTAAAGTTCTAACTAAATATTATCCAGCGTTTTTGCCATTACAAGAGCGATTTACAGTGAAAATATGGGCTCCCGATACCTGATGTTTAAGACACAATGAATAATTTTAAATCAGTCATCGAGGATGTGTACTCTATGCCCTCGAGCACCATTTGTATGAGAGATCTTGATGAACGAGACAACAAGTTAGTGCATGAATGAAACCCCAAACCATACTTCCAATGTAGACTGGACTAACCAGGTGCGAATAACTGCTATTCAATTTGGACTGCTCAGGCATTTTTGGGCTGATAAGAAATTATAACAAAAGTTTTAACAAGGACCATAACTCTTAGAAATAATTAACATAAATTGTTGAAATTAAATAGGCTTCTTCGTCTCACTAATGTAAACAACATACATAAATTTTGAAAATACCAGATAATAAATAAATTAATGTAAATTGTGGACGACGGACAGACGGATGAAGGCGATGGCAATACACGACCACATTTCCATTTGGGCATATAATTTATAAAAACTAAACGTAAATCAGTTTAAATACACTCATATTATATCAACATGTGCTTTTTGATCCATTTTCATAGACTTTAAGTTCCAAAGAATAAAGGTACATCTCAGATATTTAGCTCCCTTAAAGCGAAAATTTCATATTTTCTAAGAACGTCAAAACATAATTATCTATATGTCTTTTGCGCAATAGGTTATCAACTCACTATTATACGACCATGGGCATTATTTCCCACCCTTAAAAATCATTGACACAGGAAATAATAACACAATTACCTCCCTTGTTTTCCTATTGCCTCCATGCATGAGCTACCTTCAAATGTTGGAATTTGAAGTTGAAAATGATATTTTTGCCAATTTCTCAGCTGGCAATAGTGAATTATAGGATTAATAGGATTATTCTTTAAGAAGGTAGGACTGTTTATAGATACCATCTATTTTAAGGCTTTATTTTAATAAATTTTAAAAATATAATGTAAAAATATGAAATTGCAACTTTAACACCTGTTACTTACCACATGCAGGTAGACATACTATAGATAAATCAAGGTGAAGGTCATATAATACAGATGAACATAATGTATCACAACACAATTCATTATTAAAATCTTTCACCACAATATTTTCATGAAATTTTTTAAAAATCAATAACAAAAAAAAAAAGACGACAGCCACATTTGTTCATTCAAAAGAGCCATATCATGACTTGATCACTACAATAGTCTTTTCTCTCTCTTGGGTATAGATAAAAAATCTTATTAATAAATTATAGGTGATATAAAACATAGCAACTCGTACAATCAAAACACAGATCCTATTTCATTTCAGTTTTTTTAGTTCAAAATTTTGTTTTACTTGTCTTTACTACACTAGGATCTGGAAGAGTTGTTATATAATAGGCATTCTTATTGATGTGAGGAATTAGCGAATGAAACAATCTGTTAGGGCAACTTCTCTGCGCGGAACTGTGGGTCAATCCCTTGAAAAGTCAACGCCGATTGATTAATCAATGTCCGATGTCTTAGGGTCAAACGCCGCTCGTTTGACCCCTGACGTGAACTCCCACTATAACTTGCAGGGATGTAGCCACGCCGGGCGGCACTGGGCGCTAGCGCCCAACACTATTTTTTGCCGCCCAGCACAAAGAAAAAATTGAAGAAAGCCACCCAGTCGTATTTATACCCCTTTGTCCTTCTCTGTACACAAACTTGGCACTCGAAATTTACCATGGCAAACGGCAAAGCCATGGTAAAAGCCAACGCAAACCATGTCTGCCACGGCATAATTTATTTTTGTGTGCCATAGTAGACCCTATCATCCCAAATTAGTTTAAAGAAAGAAGTATTGGTATTTTGTTTATTTATATTTAGAAGTTGTGTAGGTCTATTAATTTTACAATTCTACAGTCTTTAAATTTGTATATTTGTATATTTGCTGTAAATAGGTCACCCAGACCAATTTATGGCACTCCAATGTTAAAGGTTTGGATGTCATAAATGGTGTCATAATTCGTGAGACACAAATCAAATAAAACAACGTGTTTTAATTATCAATATCTACCTGTTGTCATAATTTGTTGTACTCAAATAAGACACAAAAAATGTTTTAAGAATCGTTTTAATTTTTAATCTCAAAGTAATAAAGTAATATTTGAAAAAAAACCCCACCAAAAACTGAGAAACAGAGTGGGGTGGTGCAATTTTATGCTCGGTCGGTCGGTGTCAAAAAGTTTTTTGATCCCTGACAGAGTCTCTGTATCACTGATCAAAATTAAGTGAATTTGGTAAAAATTTGAATATATAAATGGAAATTTGATTTGCACTGAAGCAAATACAAAAGGCAGCAGATGCTCTGAAAATACACCAAGAAGGGTTGAATTTTCATAAAAGACCATGCCCACCCCCCCGAAAAAATTATTGGACTCGCTCTGCAGCTATTTTTTCCACCACTCAGTAAATCCTGGCTACATCCCTGAACTTCATGAAGTGTAGGCCATCGAAAGTATAAAAAAACGAAACGAAATATTGATTTTAATCAGATTTCAACTCCTACTGTTTCTCAGTCAACCAGAACCTGTAATCACCACTCCTGAATGCTGAATTGATTTTAAACTTCATTGTAGGAATATTTGTATGATATTCCATTCCCTCCTCCCACCCCTTTTTGCCCATATCTTATGTTATTCCACTGTTTTACATATTGTTATTTCGGATCCTTTAGAACTTCTTTACTTGTTCAATGCCAAGGTCATGTTGATGATGCATGTTTATATTCGATTAACCAGAAACTTTGTGTCTATATGATTTGTGTTGCGTGATAATTATGCACTAGGAGTTCGAGAATAAAGATGGCGTCTTAAAGATTATGATAGTATATTTTCTTCTTCCTATAAAACCCTGTTGTGATATCCTTGCTACCCCAAAAAGTAAAAGGGTAGCATAGTCTTTAAATGTCTAAAAGAAACAGTCCTTGTTTTTCTAAGTGGCATGCTTACAGATTACAACCCACAACGAACACTCAAATCGCAATATTAACTGCACCAACTGTACAAAGTACAAACTCAATCTCAAGATTTCTTCAATTTAACCACGAAGAGGCGTAAAACATAGCTAAAGGCATTTCTTCCTCATAATAACTTTTTCTACAGTCCTTGTTTTTTTAAGGCGAGCGATCGCTCCGGAGTACCTGCCACACACCTGAATGTTGATCGAGGGAAACTTTTCGACCTCCCCTTAAAATTGAAAATTTGCTCATGGGGGGTTTATTATCATTTATGAAACCAGGAATGACCCCCTGACATGGAGTTATTGATCTTAGAAGTCTCCAAACTATGGGAGATCACAGTGGCTAAGTGGGTAAGACGCTGGCTCGCTATTTAAGATTAAATATAAACTAATGTGAAACTGAAAGAAATTAGTGCTAGATACACAAGATTAAATGATATCTGGGTTACTGTACAAGGACATCATAGCCTATAGTTGTTTGGATGGGAGGAAAAACTGGGGTCCTGCATACACATTGGTGTGCACCTAAAAGAACTCTTGACAGTTGGAATTTGAAATAAGAGTAGGTTGTAGCGCCACTGGCCTGGCAAAATTTCCCTCATAGCCTCTAGAAAGACCATAACAATTGTGTGGCCAAAACAACAGAAATTCTTGAAAATCAATGAACACTATGTCTTATGAACATAAACTCTGTATAAATCTGAACTTTAGCCTCTAAAGCATCCACAAGGTAAAGTACTAACCTCTAGACAGCTAAAAATATTAATAATCTAGATGTCATTCATTGAGTCCCTCGCTTTTATTGTGAATTTTCCTGTAACATTAGAACTTATGTCACAACACGGCTACAGGTCTTAGAACTTCATATCAATTGGCAAGTTATAAATCCTATTTATTGTATGTAAACACTTTTACTTACCAGAAAAAAGACATTGTTCCATCATCCCAAAAATCATTCTGTTTTCTTTTGTCTTCTTCCCAGTCATGAGCCGTAGCTGAGTGAATCTGATGAAGATGTGTGCCTCCATTTGATTGGTCACGTTGTACGGAAGCCATTTATATCTACACTACCGAACAACTAAATCTACTTCTGTTTTTACATAGAAAAATACTCTACAGTTTATTATTAGTACGGTTTGTACCAATCTGAAAAAAATATAGAAAAAAAAACATCAATAAAAATACCTAATCTTTAAACTTTAAGCGACATTAAGAAGAACATGAACAGATCACAATTTTCAAGGGAAATAATCACTGGTTTTATTCTTAAAGCATGACGTTTCGACAAGTATCCTCTTATCATTATCACTCTTAAAAAGGAGGTAGGTTTTTACTTTAGAATAAAACCAAGGTTTTTACTTTACAATAAAACCAGTGACTGCCTCCCATAAGAATTATATCCTGTTAATAAAAATACAAACGACTCTATGCATGATTTTAGTGCTATAGAATCCCTTGCACACTATACAACTGAGAAAGTTCAATATCTAACAGGAATATCAGTACAAAGATATGACGAATTGAAAATTCAAGCAATCTATGCTGCTCCCTTTGTAAGAGGACAAATGACATCTTTATTTGCCATGAACCAAATTGATCGGCATATTTTAAATCTGATTTAAACACGGACGGGAAATTATATAGAGTCGGTATTTTGATTTTTTCTTAATTAATGTTAAATAATCAATCATATCAGTGTGGATTTAATGGGGACTTGTGTCCCAGCCCACATGAAAACTGAAAGTTAGTCATTCTTTACAAAGGTACACAGAGCTTCAGATGGTTGTACAGAGATAGGATAAAGGTTTGCAAGAGCCTGTCACTCTGATCTAAAGAATTAAATGAGTCTTTAAAACTCTCTTTAATGTTGAAACAAAATGTAACACTGAGTCACAAATAAATTATTCATATGTCTATATAATAAGTGTTTTAGTCCCATATGAATACTTTAAATGACATCTATAAGTAGGAATAAACATGCAAAACAAAAAAATAAATTCTTCAAACCAGGGTTTCCACTTCAAAATTTTCACAGTCGGACATTTTTGATAACGAACAAAAATTTGCAAAATAAATTTGTATTTCATTTTTTTATTCACGGTAGAGTATTGTGAATTCACAATTTGTCAGCATAGTGTACACAAAAATTAATATACTGGACTAAGAAATGAAATATTAGTAGGGCTAATAATAATTATTCATTAATGAAATGTTGTTCTCTTTTGAGTAATTAAGTAGCTTTTATTATCGAGATTTCATACTTGGTTAAAGTAAGACAAATAAAGAGCTGAATTGGCCATAGAAAAATCATTCCAGGAGCTCCCAAATATCACCATGTGCTCTATAGAAAACACACTGACATGGATAATCCAATAACTTCAGAATTTGACGTAAATCCTAATAATGAATAACTAATACCTAACAATATACTAATTTCACAGCTAGCGACACTAGCGCTCCCTAGAAGTATAGTCGTGAATAATAAGAGTAAAGATAGGTTGCCAGGCAGCAAAACATACGCCCCCAGCGTATTTGTTCTTTTGTCAGTAAGGAGAACGGTTACAATACAACACACAAAAATCTTATTACGAGTAATAACCCATTAAGTAATTATCAGAAATCATTAGAATTTATTTCGGTTGTTTGTATCATGACCTTGAACAATTTATATTAAATTTAGCCTCTAGAGCAACCACAAGATTTTTCAAAGTGACCAAGGGCCTTAACTCAGGCTGTAATTATCGGAAATCATTGAAAATAGGATTCTTTGTCTCATGACCTTAAATACTCTGTATAAGTTTAAGTCAATCAGATATTAACTTACGCCTCTAGAGCTTCTACAAGATTTTTCTAAGAGGTCAAGGGCCGTAACTCTGGCAGTATTAATTGGAAATAGTTGAAAATCAATAGGCTTCATCGCCTCATGACCTTAAATGGTGTGTATAAATTTCAAGTCAATCGGATATCAACTTTAGTCATTAGAGCATCCACAAGATATTTCAAAGTGATCAAGGGCCATAACTCTGGCAGTAATTATTGGAAATCGTTGAAAATGACTAGAATCCTTCAAATGGGCATAAAACCAGACCCAACTTTTCTATAGTAATATTTTGCATAAAATACGTTGCTGAGTGGTAATCAGTCCACCGTTCGGGCGTTTTCGAGATATTCAGGGTCAAAGGTCAAATGAGGTCATTTACACCGAAAGTCAATGCGCAGCTATTCTTGTATCATAAAAACATGATGAAAATAATCAAAACTAATCACGCGGCTTGCAGGCTGAAGTTAGACCATGAAACTATTCAATTGTTTTTTGAACAACTACATGTAGTTTCATTATGCATAGCAGTCGTCGTACAAACCAAATCTGGGAGAGATTTCCATTTGACAGTTTTTAAGTATTATTGAAACAGGTTTCGAAGTGTTTTGGTCCTATTGTGCACGATCTTTTTCGACATTCCAAAGTAAACATACTGGTGTTAAGACCCCCTATACAGATAAATTTTAAATGTTCCTATTATTAATTATAACAGGTTTCTCTTAGTTTTGGGGGGTTGGATGGCCATAGGGTCTGTCATTGAGTCAACTGGCGTGGTTTTGTACATGACAAGGAGTAGGGTGGGTTTTCTCCAGTTACCTCCAACTGTTAAAGACCCACACGCGCATGTGAATTATTGAAATAAAATTAAACCATATGTTAGTCCCGAAATGACCTAGTTTGTGTCGAGTGGCGTGGACGATCAACTCCATTTCTCTCTTTCTTTAGTTTTTATATTTTATGCGGACGTGTATTGCGTTAAATCTTATTAGTGCAAAAACAGAAAATTTGACCTTTGACCTCCAGGGTCACAAAGAACAAAGGTGAATTTAGCAAGTTTACATTTTTATTGAAAGGGTGATTAGTTTTAATCATTTTCAGCATGTTTTCATGATACAAGAATGGATGCATATTCACTTTCAGCATAAATGACCTCATTTGACCTTTGACCATGAATAGCTCGAAAACACCCTGACGCCGGACTGATTACCTCTCACAGAGCCTTCATAACTTCCACTAACTTTGACATATGATAGAACCTTATTACGTCACTCATCAGGAAACACCATTTTGTAGAAAGGGGTAACAATATGCCATATCTATCGAAACAGTGTGAAGCACTTTCACAACATTTGAAGTTTGACATATATACTCTTCAAAAAAAGTAGGTGATATTGAAATGCAAATACCTATGCAGGTTGTGATATGATAAATAGTCATGGACACTTGACATGCTTTGAGAGTATGTTCACAGATGAAGAACTTATTGCCCCAACAGAACCACTGGGAGGGGTTCATGGCCAAATTTGACACTTCAAGGCAGGGTTGATGAAAACTGCCGATTGCTGGTTTATCCTATCCATGTTTGCTTTTCCTATCGGTTCTTGCATAAGATTTACCGTTAAGTGTATCTCTGCTTTAGTATGTTACGTTTAATTTGATCTGGAGACGTGTTCGTCAACGTCAACGGACAACACTGCAAGAAGTGGCCGTGGCACTGCAAGAGGAGTGGGTCAGATTGCCCAAAATCGTGATTGGACGGTTGCATAGGAGCATGTCACGACGAATTTCTGAATGTCTGAGGATTGGTGGAGCAATTACTCATTATTAAGACAAAAATCAAAAACGTCCATTTTCACTTTTGACAGTGTATCTCTTTGTGAGTGAAATGGGGCCGTCAGATAAGCTGCCCATATGAACTGTTTATGTTCATGTGTAGGCAATTGGCCTGTTATTAACATACACTGGTTACCTCTACTAAAAACAGCAGTGCATTTCCGCAGTTTTGTATTGTTTCTGAATATCCCCTACTTTTTTTGAAGAGTATATTATGAACAAGCTATACTATCAGTCTCGGGGGCGATTTTGAGTGTATGCCCATTATCCCCTACTTGTTTCCATCTCTTGCTTCCCAGTAAAATCACTTGCAATTTTACTTGTTTTATCTTTTTAAATGGTTTTACGGCTGAAATCTATCCATAACACGATTTGTATGCATGTAAAAACAATAGGCTACTGTAATGATAACTTATCAGAGATATCAATTTATTTATCATTGCTTGATAAGAAATTTACATGAAATACAATGGGGTTTAACATCCTACTGTTCTGTTCCAACTGGGCCAATGAAGATGGGCATTAACCCCATACAGTGTGTTATGAGGTAAATCTGCCCGAGCAGCGGCACAATGGCCTACTTTTATATTGAATTCCAACTGTCAAGGGATCTTTTACAAGCACACCAATGTATACACGGGACCTCGGTTTTCCGTACGAACCGAATGACTAGACAGCTGTCCTACCAGGCCCTCTGTCCTGCACCACTAACAGGGGAAAACCACATTGGTATAATAAATCAATCTACTATCAGCTCAGTTACAAAGATTTGAAAAATACAGCATAAATATGTTCTGCACTGACAGGGTTAATGAAGATGGGCATACATGTATGGCATACAGTGTGCTATGTATGAGGGAAGGGTTCTTTTACATGCACGACAAAGTGAACATAGGACCTTGGTTTTTTTTTTATCCCATCCAAATGACTATACATTGCTCCTTGCCAGGCCCTTTATCCTGCACCAATGACAAGAGGGAACCACACTCGAATATCATGACAATCTTTCTCGGCCAACACTAGGATCAAACAAGGGAGCTCCAGGTCAGCAAGCCATCTTACTCACTGAGCCACTGCAGCTCCCTACTTGATAAATTCGAGAGAATCTTACATGTAGAGAGGGTCATAATGGTACTTACAATTTACATATTTAGATTCTATCGTCTGTGGTCAAAACTATTGAATTTCAAAATTAATGTTTTTTTCTAATGGTTTGGGCGGGTTCATACCGGTATAAACCCAAAAAATGGTTTGAGTAGTTTGTTCCCTGTATATAACACAAGAAATTGGCATATTCAGTGCTTTAGAAATACACTGATAAAAGTAAATAAAACGAAAAAAAAAAGAAATGAAATGGGGTTTAACGTCCTACTGTTCTGCTCCGACTGGGCTAATAAAGATGGGCATACGCCATACATTGTGCTATGATGAGGGAAATTTTGCACTATGGCCTACTCTTATATTGAATTCCAAATGCCAAGGGATCTTTTATGTGCATGCCAATGTATACACAGGGCCTTGGTTTTTCGTATCATCCGAATGACTAGACAGCTGTCCTTGTCAGGCCCTCCATCCTGCACCACTGACAAGGGAAAACCACGTCGGAAAATCCTGATGAACTTTCTCCGAACTCAGCCTATGCAGGGATCGAATACGCAACCTCTAGATTAGTGAGCCAGCATCTTACACCCTTAGCCATTGTGGCTCCCCAGTAAATAAAACAGATATATCTTTCGTACAAAATACATTACCTCAACCTGGCTATTGGCTATACACCTTTATGTATGGGACTCATTTTCATTGTAGTGTTCATTTTAAAGATCAAAAAGTTTTTATTTATATAAAGTAGCCTATTATATATTCTAGCATTCTCTCAAGTAGTAATCTGTTCATTCAATCATTTTCATTGTGAATAAAATTTCTGACAGGTGGAAGTTCAAGTTGATTGTTTGCTAATAATATATGTACATGTGTAATAGTCTTAGTTGAAATTATTTTTGACCCCAAAAGATCGCAGATGAATTTTGTTTCTATCACAAGAATTCTTAAATAAAATACTGTAATATGTCACGAAATGCAATCTTCAATGTGTAACTAGTCTACGTGTAATTTGTGACTAAAAAAATATAAAATAAAAAAAAGTGAGAATATTTGAAGGAACAGGTTGTTCTTTGCATTACTATGGTGTCAAGTTATTCAAGAATGAAAAAAAACCCAGGAAAACAATGCCTGAAGTTGAAATAGTCGTGATGAAAATACGATAGATGTTTATACCAACCCAATATTTTGATAAATAACGATCAAAGTTTTATTTAGTTGATCACGTTTCTATCAGCCGATGTTGTCAAGTAAAGCTAGGGGTTTTATACGAAAATATTTCAAAGGAAGCAAAAAAATCGTTTCCTAGGCTTTGGCTTTTTTTTTATCTATTGCATAAAGTATTTTCATAATAAAGATACAACACTAGCATTACTCAAATATTCTGGAACCAGTGAAAAAGTTTTTATTTTCCTTTCGATACGAAAATAAATATTTGCTCTGAATGAAACTGTCTGTGTGTCTGACTTCCGGTTTGAAGCTGTGTGTCGTAATGTTATTTGTTTGTTCAATCTAATCATAATTTTGTCATAAATAAACAAAAAATTCAACAGGTTTGCTAAAACAACAGAATGATTAAATTATTTTCTTTAAAACAACAAAAGAAAGATGGTGAATCTGCACCAGAAAGAGGTAAAAAGTCGTCTGCAGCACAGCTTAGAATACAGAAAGGTAATATTTGAATGTTAAAAACGGAATACCCAAAAAGGGCAGTATGACTATGAGTGTGACTAATTTGAGCCATTCAAATTCATGGCATTTTTCTGTGTTATTTAATATTAACAAAATTCAAGAATCCGCATCTAGCCGTACATCTAGCCAAAAGAAATATCCTTGGCAAATCCCCCCCCCCTTCCTTTTTAGCTTGTAGTGTTCACTAACAGACTGACTCAGTGACTGACACAGTTTCAGTACCTCTACATGTACTATTATAGGTATGAGACAATCCCAACTATCATGGATGCCATCGCATTCCGCTGTGACATGCTAGTAATGTTCCGATCGTATTTAGGTCTTTCCTGGTACCTGGTTTCTCATTGCTTTCTTGTTGGCTATTTTTAGAATTCCATGTCATAACGTAAGAGGAAAACCCCCAGTATAACGTCGTTTTTAAAAAAGAAAGATGTCAGAATTTTTTTTTTCACAATGAAATTTGGATCACTTTCAAATCACCTAAAATATAGGATTAACCGAAATTGATTTTTTCTAAAATATAAGGACCATTAAAATAACCATTAATCTTTATATTGAATTATATTGTTGAAGTTTTAAGGCAATCTGATGTTCAGAAAGTTGTTTTTGAATGCCCAGAATGCATCGATGGTTCACAGTTTGGGGCATCATATCATGGCCAATGAAATTTCAGGACCCGTTAAACCGTTATTTGAAAATAAATGGCATGTATTCTATATCTGGTCGACTTTTATTTTACTTTTTTTATGTCTTAAGGTTTTTCTTTTCGACCTATGGTACCGGGTTTTGGACAGGTATACTATTACAAATAAAGTTCACCATTCGATAGCAATCGGGGTCATGTGACCAAAATATGTGTCCTTTTACTGAATGTTTACAATACAGATAGATCTATACAAAATATTGAAGCCATTCATGGCCATTGGTGTGAAACATCTCATTCACTATAGCTAAAGAATGATGGGGACTCAGCGGCAGCCAACCCATGGTACAGGCACAGCATCAAGTTACTACCGGTTAATGAGGCGGTTATATGACATAAGCATGACCTAGATGCTCACTTACATTCGGCTAAAACACAGTATTTGTGACATAAGTCAAATAAGTGTCTTACCAGGGTGAAAAAATAAATTGCCTTGCAATTCTAAGTATGAATAGTTCAATATTTTAATCATTATAATTTATACTTTTATCGCTTCATCAGTTGTTACAAATATAATTTTGAGAAGTTTTTTAAGTATAAGTCACTGTATGGTCACTTTATGGTTACGTAACCTTTAAAAAGTTAAAAAACTTCAAATTCCTTTAAAAACTTCAAATTCAAATGAATAAAAAAAAATTTTTAGATTTTAAAATTGCACATTTCAAAAGTAATATAATATTACTGAAGATCACATTTTTGATGTATGTTTTCAGCATTTTTCATGCACTTTGACAGAAACACATGTAGTTTAATTAGTTAGAACTCCCTTAAAGGACAATATTGGTGCCAGTCATTATCACATATGTGATAGAGCTGGTTAAACACATTCCAAATATAATTTTATGTCAGAGATCATTGCTACGATGGCTGAGTAATACAGTTTTTCTGAATCGGAAGTGACGAACACCAAAGGAAAACACGAGTCGCCTCTCTATATAACTGACTGATGTGACGAATGATAACGGATATACGGGCGAATTTCTGCTCACTAATAATTCCTTTGAAGACCAAAAGTTGTTGTGTGAGACTGTGAGAGCATATCTGACAATTCATAAAAAGAATTGACTGTCACTAGATAAGCGAACACGAAAGAAAAACAGAAAAAGTCTGTGCATTACCATGTTTTTATAAGGTATAGAATGAATATAAACAAGGGAATGTACAGACTATTTCTATTTTTCTCGTGTTCTCTTATCTAATGACATTCAATTACTTTATTGAATTGTCAGGTATCCTCTTACAGTCCCATATAACAACTTTTGGTCTCCGAAGGAATTATTAGTGAGCAGAAATTCGCCCGTATATCCGTTATCATTCGTCACATTTGTATAATTCAACTACCACAATTTATTATAGGACATGTTCTATAAAAGCATGCATTTATATCCTTTCCAAAAAAGTCACAGAAAATATATTAATTTGAGTTTCATAATGTAATTTATTGAATTGAGACAGCATAACACATTAAAATGGCTATTTTGGGGGGATATGTTTATTGCCATAACTCAACAACAAAGATATATATTGACTTGAAATTTGGTGGTCATTATGAGAGGTCATTATTACAAATGTTGAATACAAGAAATGGACTGTAAATTCTGGAAGTTGTTTCTAAACTGTATATAACATCATAATATTGAAAACTAAACAAATACTGTGTTTTAGCTGTTTATTCTTGTTGGTGCAGGAGAATAGTAGGACGTTAAATCATTTTTTTTTTTTTTTCACTCTTTTGTGTGTTAACTTAAGGGGTCAACAACAACTGCAGCCTGCAATAACAACTTCACATTTTTAAAAAAAAAATACTAATCCATTCTCTTGCAGATATCAATGAACTGAATTTACCTAAAACATGTGATGTTAATTTTCCTGATCCTGATGACCTACTAAGCTTTAAACTGATTATTTCACCAGATGAAGTAAGTATTCTAATCAAATAAAAAAAATTTAAATAAGAGAAACATACATGCATTCAACTATTTGTACAACATTCAGTATACAACGTAATGAGTACATTTTGTGGATATAGCGCTTTATAAATGGACATATTATTATTATTATTATTACAAAATATTCAGCGTCTCAATCAACACAAAAACTTTAATTTTAAAGTTTTTATTTCTATTATTATTATTACACACATTTATAGCATATGGCATTGTGCAACCTTTTAACATATTTCAGGGGTTTTTTTTTCAAATAAAGATATTGTTTTTAACAATATCACAGAGCTACTGTATGGATCTTGGTACCAAAACCTTACACAAAAATTACCCAGTAACTTCTGCTTTTCAAATCCTAATATTAAGCCAATTGTGACAATAGTTAGTTATGAGTAGTGGTGGGTGCAGTGAGTAAAACAGGTTATGCTTACTCTCTCTAGTAGAACACCTGATACGACTTATCATTCTTGAGTTCAAAGATGGCAAATTTTTGTTGAACTTTTGTAAAATTAGGATGATGATAATTAAAAGAAACTTTTTTTTTTCAGGGGTTCTATAGAGGTGGTCGTTTTGTTTTCAGTTTTAAAGTTGGCCAAGGATACCCTCATGATCCCCCAAAAGTAAAATGTGAAACAATGGTTTATCATCCTAATATAGATTTGGAAGGAAATGTCTGCCTTAATATTCTCAGGTAATTTGGGAGGATTGAAAATGGCAGATAATCAGAGGATTCTCAAGTGGTCGGAAAAAAAACCCCAGACACACTGGGGAACCTCACAAAAAGTCAAGAAGTCTTCAGGGTTATCAATGATGTGTATCCTGCTTGTATTGTGACCCCCAATGTCATAATGTTCACATCACATTCAATATGGACTTGACTTTTTAAATATTCTTAGCCATTTTATAATGTTATGAGAGTATTTGATTCAATTCAAATTAACAATTTTTAAATTATTTTTCATACATACATGTATTTAGAAATTGCACATTTTCCATACTGATATGTTATGAGAATATTTGATTCAGTTTGAATTAACAATCATTTCTCGTGCATCAGTTTATAAGACCGTTGAGGTTAATGCTGTTTCTTGTCTTCAATCTTTTTGTCCGTCTGGATTAAACAATTTACTGTTAGGACTTTTTCTTCAACTTTGTGATATCTCAATTTGTAATGTTTTCTTTCAGAGAAGATTGGAAACCGGTTCTTACTATTAATTCTATTGTTTATGGTTTACAGTATTTATTCTTGGTAAGTCAATTATCTTAGCCATGCCCTTCTCCAATTTATATTAGCCATGTCCTTCTCCGGTTTATCTTAGCCATGCCCTTCTCCGATTTATATTAGCCATGCCCTTCTCCGATTTATATAAGCCATGCCCTTCTCTGATTGATCTTGGCCATGCCCTTCTCCGATTGATCTTAGCCATGCATTTCGCAAGGTTATCTTAGCCATGCACTTACCCAGTTTATTTTAGCCATGCCCCTCCGGTTTATCTTAGCCATGCCCTTCTCTGATTTATATTAGCCATGTCCTTCTCCGGTTTATCTTAGCCATGCCCTTCTCCGATTTATATTAGCCATGCCCTTCTCCGATTTATCTTAGCCATACCCTTCCAAAGTTTAACTTAGCCATGCACTTACCCAGTTTATTTTAGCTATGCCCATCTTCATTTTATTTTGGATGTGCCCTTACCTGTTTTAAAGTCCCAGTGCAACCAAGAGATTATGGCAAATGATTTTACAATCTAATTAAATTGTATTTATATTATGACAAGGACAGCTGTCTAGTCGTTCGGATGGGACGAAAAACCGAGGTCCCGTGTACCCATTGGCGCACACGTAAAAGATCCCTTGGCAGTTGGAATTCGATATAAGAAGAGTAGGCCATAGCGCCGCTGCCCTGGCAAAATTTCCCTCATAGCACACTGTATGGCGCATGCCAGTCTTCATTAGCCCAGGTTAGGAGCAGAACAGTAAGACGTTAAACCCCATTTCATTTCATTTCATTTCACACACTCAAACGAGTTAAGGGATGGTGAGTATATGGAGCTCTGACCTTCGTTTACTGGTTTTGTTTCCAGAGCATATATCATAAACCAGTCCCAGTCCGTATATTTTTAAGGAACTTTGTAGATATGTGAACCTGTTATAGTAGTTCACAAATTTAATAATATTTGGGTTTCCATGGAAACAAATTTGGCTTTGATGTTTATGACTAAATCTTCTCGTTAGATTTTGGTTTACTACACTACATAAGATCTAACATATTTTTTGAACAGCTGCCATTCAAATCATGTTGCATTGTCTGGCAACCCATTTTTTCCATAGCAATTGGTTGTACAATTAATCCACCAATTATTGATAATAATAATTCTTGCATTCATATAGGGCAAGATTTCAAACTAAAGTCTTATCTTGGGTATAGAATGATTTGTCCTTATCAAACAAAACAGTAGGAAGTTTGTTGTATTTTCCTCAAAGTTGTTTCCTTGAAATAAAAATAAAAAATTACAAAAGATTTATTAAGGACACATTATGTAAGATTTAGATAAAGAACTGGCTGTTCTTGCTATAATAGTTCAAAAATAGATAATGCAAAATGAATATATTGAAGATTTTTTCAAATTACTTTATTCTGAGCGAAATTATCAGTGTTTGTAGTTTTGATAAGATGTGTTCATTGATTGTTTATTATGGTAATCACGGTGCTGGTTATTTGAGACTTAGCCTCGCTTCTCCATTTTTAAATTAAATCATTAAAGGTCTTTGAAATTTACCAGTGGCAGGTAACATTGACATTCGGGATCATGTTATACTTATGGAAAGGAAATGTTGACATAATTCCTTGCATTATTTAAAAAATTTATGAACCTTTTCCGGTGACCTTTAAATGGCTGAAGTGTTCTAATCTGCTTAAATTGGAGCCATGTGATGGCATCAAGAGTTGATTATGGTCTTGTGGTAATAAATGTTATTAATTTATATAACATTTAAGACCTAAAGAAAGACCTGCAATAGACAGATTTAGTTCTTGAATAATGTGTCTTTAAATTCTTTTTCCAAAAAAAAAAAAACAAAAAAAAACGTCTAGACCAATTTGTTTATATATCACAACCAATACACAGGACGTTAAAGAACCCTTGATAGTTGGAATTCAAAATAAGAGTAGGCCGTAGGATCAGGCAAAATTTCCCTTACAGCACTCTTCATTAACCCAGTCGGTGCAGAAAAGTAGGAATTTAAACCCCTTTTCATTTTGCAAGAGCAACGTTCTAGATTCTTCAGCCCAGTTGAAGTAAATGCACAAGTCATCTATCTCATTTCAAATCTCTTTTTTTTTTCTCCAGGAACCAAATCCTGAAGATCCATTGAACAGAGAAGCTGCTGAAGTCCTTCAATCTAACCGTAGATTATTTGAACAGAATGTTTCCAAGTCGATGCGTGGAGGTCACATAGGATCAGTTTATTTTGAACGATGTTTGAAATGATGAGAAGCTATTTCTAGGAATCTAAGAATCATGTTTGAACTATTTGGTATTCCATTCAGTGGATAATGTTGAAAACCTTCATATTTTACTTCTTATTTGCAATATTATTCTGCTGTATAGAATATGAAAGACATTATTTTATTGGCTAATAATTAAATCCAACTAGCCATAATTGTGTGCAACATGTCAAATGATTGGTTGATATGTTTGGAACAAGCGATTTGATTGGTTTGTTAATAATGTGATATATGAATATATATATATGTTAAATAATCCATTTAACTGTCTTTTTTTGTGTCTCTTTTGGAAAATGAATGTTTAATTAAACTCAACTTTTAATCTTTATTTCAAATTAGTTAAATTGAATTTATGAAAATAATGGAATTCTGTACTTTTTCCATCAGATAAAATAAATTATTCATTTATATTCACCCACATTTAAATATGGTAGTATATTGTTGTTACCTACGTCTGTCCATCCATTCGTCGTCCACAATTGCTTATACACCATGTTTATGTTCACGAGATGAAGATGTCTATTTGTTTCCAGCGATTTCTGATATTTTCTGTCAGAGTTGTGTCGCTAGATCTTGGGGACGATCGAGAGGGTAAAGTTATCATCTCATTGACTTGAAATTGATACAGTGTTTCTGTTCAAGAGTCTATTTCTAATAATTCAAACAGCTGAAAGGGACAGGTTATGTTTATGTCAGCATTAGGAAGAACTAGGAGACGCTCAAATTGTAATTATTTCTGATAATGCTTTTTTTTGCCATTGATAGGATTTTAGTGTCTTACAAATGATCCTATTACCTACAATAAAAATAAGACAGCCTTTATACACTGCTCAGATGACTTATCTGCTGTGGGTGTATGTTTTATTGCCTGACAACCTATCTTTACTGTAAATATAATCAGCTCTATGATGTGTAAATGTGTTTAAAGAATATGTGATGTCCTTTTGGCATGGGTGGGTGTGGGGACTGGGGAATCTAAGCCAGATGGCTCCATATGAATATGATTGCTCCAATATAAAGATACTTAGATATAGTAACCTTTTAATAAGGATAGATAGATTGATAGATAATTATTATTAATTTATTTACGTACATCTGAAAACATATAGTACATGTATTTGTAACAATTTAAATAGGAATGGTTTCTGGGCATAATTGACACAACGTTATAAAACACATCTTAGTCTTTTGTTCTGTAAAATATAGTTCAACACATCGCACAAAACGTTTCACAGATTGACTTCGATTCATCATCTTAAACAGGTGATTTGACATATATTATATGTAGGTATTAAGGCACCATAACTAGATTATATGATATATTGTGTCAGGGTATAAATGTAAATACAATGGACTGAACTGAAGCATTGAATATTGAGCGTATACTATATAAGATACAAAGACTTTATTATACATACAGGTACTTGACATTTAATTTTATTGTCATCAACCTGTGGGGTATAAAGCTAACCCACTCTCCGTGGGTAAATGAGAACCATACAATTCTCTCTTCTCTATAGCACTCACACATTAAAGATGCATTATGTAAGAGCTAAATCTGCCCATTTCAAGTCTTTATTTTGGCTTCAAATGTTATATAAACTATTGTGTAAATGTTTATTGACATGTCAAGTCTGTAATTAACGCAATGGATAATTGAAAGTTAGACTATATTGTCAAGCACTGTTGTTATGATAATGAAAAATCTAGGCTAGATCTTGTCAAACCTAACACCCATAACTTTGCTCAAAATATTCAATTTTCATTATCTATTATTGAACTAATAGCAAGAACAGCCAGCTCTATATCAATCTTAAATAATGCATCTTTAACTCCTGGTTTGAAATATACATTGGTAGGGGTTCTGCAAACAAAGGAAATTTCAAACTAAGTATGGCAAGATCACCATTACCATTTTGTTTTCGAAGAAGCAAAAGACACACCCTATATGTTATTTGTGCATCAATCTGCATAAGAGGAAACTTTCATTTTCTGAATGAATAGCATTTTTAATTAACTCCATTGGTCAAAAATTATTAATGATACCTGCTCTACCCCAAATTTTTCTGAAATAGGTAGCTTCTCTTTATCTTGATTAGTTGCATATTTCTGCATGGTCCTTGTGATTGTACACAAATTGATACTTAAGTGCAGAGGGAGGACTGTAAACAGATCCAATATGTTTGCACGGTCCAGTCAGACCCCTTACCTTCTAAACTGATGCATGACCACTGTTTTCAGATAATGCATATAAGGTCATTTGGCATGATGCAGTTCATCTTGTCAGATAATAAATCAGCTACTAGAGGGTTGTTTTTGTGCTAGAGAAATTGGCACATATCTACCACCAACAATATTCTCCATCTTTAGAGGTTTCTTTTTAAAATTTATTATAAAAAATATGACGAGAGAGAGACCATACTCACTCTATCATTGATAATTAGGCCTACTAGAGAAGTTAGTTGAACAAATGGTCCAAGTTTTCTAGTGCATGAGTCAGACCATATATAAATAATATACTATATGTACATGTATTATATTATAAATGCAATTAAAGATATCCCTTACTTATATGTCACCTGTCTTTGTTTAATTGCTTGAAAGAATCTTATTAACTTGTGTTATAGTTAGATCAGTGATTCTCAACCTTTTTTTGCTAACGGCACACCCTGGAACTCATGACAAAATAGCGGCACACCTGGCTAAATATATATGAAAAATATTTGAATTTTGCAAAATAAAAACATGGCAAGTCAGACGGCATACATCCGTAGACAGAGACTAGTCATAGACACATAGAATGACTCAAAATAAATAAAGAAAAACGCAGCTATGAACTAATAAACCACTGAATACTCAATTGGGCTCATGTAGTTTTTTGCATTTTCTTATCGTGCCGTTCAAAATTCCGCGGCACACTTAGGAAGATCTCGCGGCACACTGGTTGAGAATCACTGAGTTAAATAGATGGAGCCGTGGTGGCTCGCTGAAGTCTAGCTCGCAACATGCCGTACGCGTTTTTACACGCACGGATCGTGGGGTTTGGTAGCTTGCAGACCAGCCGCAAGAAACCGGGTGAACATTTTGTATGTGCAGGACCAAAACTAAGTCTCTACGACCAGTATAGGGTCTTCTACGGTGCCGAACACAAACACACGCAAGTGACACACGTTTACTAAAATTTCCCCCATTGACTGTCCGTAGTAGCACACAGGGCGCGTTGTGAGCTAAGTTTTACCAGGAGTTCCCGGGTTCAATCCCGGTGTCGGCAGAGAAAGTTCCTCAAGATTGTCAGTGGTTATACAGAACGGAAGAAATGAAATGAAATGGGGTTTAATGTCCTACAGGACAGAAGAATGTTAAAGGTGTTTCATTTCGTGATAGAAGTAAGGTAGTTGGAAAGGATTTTATCTTCTGTCAGATTATATATTTAGAGACTGTTCCATTGTTTCGTAGTTTTAAAGGACCATCAATAGTTTATCCTACAGCTTGTTTATCCTAAACTTATCCTACAGTTTATCCCACAGCTAGCCAATATTCACTCCTGATCAGCTACAATAACTAAAAGCTAACCAGGTTATCTTCTTTCGTTTGCGAAATGTTCGGTCAATCTCCAACCGTTTGGAAAAGCAGTATTGATCATTTTCGGCATAATTATTTATATAATTTTTTATCAATAATCAGAAATTGGAAACCAATAAGCTCAAAGTTGTACATGAAAGGCAACAGGCGAACCGGGTATGTAAAACAAAATAATGGAGTAATCTCCCTTACATCAATGACGGGTTCTAAATTATTTTATTTAAAGCGATCCTACCTGACTTTAAAGACACAGCATCTTTGACTAAAAGGCAAATACAGACTTTTAGATCACGCGCAATCAAAAGTAGTCTTGCTAAAATGCAAATTGATTTAAACATACATTATGCAAGAGCTAAATCTGTCTATTGCAGGTCTTTCTTTAGGCCTGAAATGTTATATAAACTATTAATTAGACATTTATTAACAAAACAAGGGTATAATCGACTCTCGATGGCATCGGATACTCTAGATTTTAACTAGATTAAAACGGTTCGCCATTTAAAAATTTAATTTAAAAATGGAAAAGCGAGGCTAAGTCACGATTATACCAGTGCCCTGGTTACCACTGTGCACGCATCTGGTCAAAACTACAAACAATGAAGTAATTTGAATGAAATTTTCTAAATTTTCTTTTTTCATCATCTATTTTTTAATTATTATAGCAAGAATGACCAACTCTTTATTAAACTTTTAACTAATGTATCTTTAAATAAGGCAAATGATTATTCGCGATCTTGGCGCTACGTACGGGACTTGTATCTCCCACCGGTTAAGATTATCTTTGAAATGATTAAAACTTACGATTTACAGGAAATGTGCACATAGGTATTCTGGCATTGTGCTCTGGAAAATTTCATGTGCGACTAAGCAACTTTATTTTACACTCAGTTGTAAATTTGCATAAATACTGTTTAAAGCGATCACAATAAATAAGTCTATGGAAGGCAAAATAATTTGTTGTCAGAAATCAGCTTTAATCATACAAACTGTTGCATGTATTTAGCAATTCTAATAGTTACTTTAGGAACGGTCTCTGACCGGGCGATGTCCTCTCGCAAAATTCTACTTGAAAATTGTTTAGTGTTGAATTATTATAACTTTGTGTCAGATTCCTTTTGGCGAACAAAGAAGAATCAATGTGAAAAATAGAAGATAAAGGTTCCAAAATAGCCTTAGAATAGCGGTGGGGATAGAGCGGTATTTTCATACTACAGCTTAATAGGGACGAACCGGAACGGTGAAAGGACATCGCCCGATCAGAGGCCTTTCCTAAAGGAATTACAATTCTAACAGTTTAAGCTCCCATACTAGCACTATTCTAGAATGATGTCCATTGTTTATAAATCTGTCTATAACGTCACTTACTGTAAACAGACTGGAGGTTTGGTTGTCGAATGGTTAGCGCGTGCGCGCTGTATTATAAGGTCTGCCATTAAGTTAGCTGGCGTGGTTTCGATTCCCCGGTTGTGCGTGACAAGGAGTTCCTCCCACTGCTGAAGACCCCCTACGAGCAAGCAAATTATTGATATAAAATGGAACCATTAGTCACCTAGTTTGTGTCGAGTGGACGTTAAACCACCACATCTCTCTCTCTCTCTCTCTCTCTCTGTGTAAACAAACCTTATTTTGGTTGCCAACTAATTTTTAGAATTTGGGGTTTCAAACGTTTTATTTTAGAAATGTGGAGAACTGTAAGATTCAATAAATTTCTAGATGGCAATAGTTAGAAAATAAACCTTATCTCTTAACCCTCCGTGTTTCGAGATAAGAGATGGTACTACAGTTTTATCTGGCAAAATCCCGATGCGAATCAGATTGTGCCTCAAAAAGCAAAACTGTCAATTTTTTCTTCAAAACAACGATTGATTATTGTTATTTATTACATTTCTGCCACATCCAACTAAAATTAAGCATATAATTAATCTAACCTGACACGGGTACAAACCATCTCTTTTAAATCGAAGCGATAATTGTTCTCTTTGCCAGACATTTTAAATTGACGTCTAGTTACGTCATGGAGGCAGGGCTACAGATGTATCATGTAACAGTTCAGCTAATCTAAATGCGAGAAAAGTAAGAAAAACTTTATAGGTCTCAAGAATGGCCTTATCAATTCTGTTAAAAACACCGGTTGATTACCTTTACTGACAATATTTGCGGACAAACGAAAGTTATTTATATTGGGCTGAGTATGTTTAATTAGTTCCATTAGTATTAAATTAGCTTATTTTTAAGTTATGCATTAATAAAAATATAAAATTAAGTTTGGCAGGTGAAACTAAAGGCATCCAATCGTAGTTAAAAACAAACAAATTACAGTACCTCGACGTTTTTAGCTACGTTCTCGTAGCTGGGCATTAGTATGCAAGTTGCGGGAAACCGGAGGACCCAAGAAAACCCACGATGGTGGACAGAAGACCCTACTCCTTGTCACGTACAAGCGGTGAATCTAAACGACGCCACTTGACCCAATGACATACCTTATGATGCAACGCCCACGCATTAACCATTCCGCCCCTAACCCCCCATTGCGTGAATAGGTTTTGCACTTCTCTGTACATGTTATGAAGAATATAGGATTTTTTTTTTTTTACTAGCCGAAAAAAAAAGAAAAAGGAATATGAATGATTGCTACTGTAATGTTGCTAATAACCGTGTCTTAAACTCTTCACTTATTGTTTAGTAATTGTCATTAAACAGCCCAATTATTCTATGTTACATACATAATGTGGATTAGATTAATAAATTCACATCAGCAGTAGACATTTCTTGTCTTTAGATGACGTGAAAAGTCGGATAACAAGGTGAGTATAAAATAGGCTAATGATCCTAGAGACACGATTCGCCAGAAAAAATAAAATAAAAATTAAAATAAAATAATAAAATAAATTCTAAAAGAATTAGAAAATATATATGTATAAACAATTTTATTGCCAGAGGACATTAATTCCAATATCTAGAAAATAAAATCCAGATATGGAAGCGTATTTGGGTCACTACTTATTGAGATAAAATCGCAACACATCGAACTAAAATATGTCAACTTCATGAGTTATATTACAAAAAAATCGACTTAATAAGTCGACTCGACGCATTAAATTCACCTCTAAACGACAAAAACTATGTCGATATGTTTACATCATGCCAATAGTCGATTTGACTCTAAATCAACAAGTCATATTTTAATGCAATATATAGACTTAATAATGTCGCTGTTTTCAGTTATGTACCACGTGCTTAATTTCATTGCCCGAGATTGCTTATTTATGAAAGTGCAGCCAATGATGGGGTTTAACATCCACTCGACACAAACTAGGTCATTTCGGGACTAACGTATGGTTTAATTTTAGGGGTCTTTAGCAGTGGGAGGAAACCGGAGGACCCGGATAAAACCCACTAGGTTGGACAGGCAACCCTACTCCTTGTCACGTACAACCGGTGATTCGAAACCACGCCAGTTGACTCAATGACAGGCCTTATGATACAGTGCGCACGTGCTAACCATTAGCGAGTTTTTGTCGTTTAGAGGTGAATTTAATGCGTCGAGTCGACTTATTTAGTCGATTTGTTGTAATATAACTCATGAAGTTGACATATTTTAGTTCGATGTGTTGCGATATTATCTCAATAAGTAGTGACCCAAATACGCTTCCATATTGGGTGGGTCTAAACCTTTAACTCAATATTATCCATAAACTTTCACATTATAGACACCAACTGGATTTAATAATGATCCATTTCAATCGATGTTGATGTTGTTATCTTACTGTGAAAATATGGGCTCCTGATATCTCATATTATATGGCAGCTCAAGTAAATAATATTTGTAAATTGTGCTATTTTAATATCAGAAATATAGGTAAAATACGTAAATTTGTAACTGTAGAGGCCACTAGGTAAGTCACTTATTAATTCTCTGGTCACTTCTCATTTAGATAACGTTAATTCACTTTTAGTTGGTTTACCTTTAAAGCTTATAGATAAATTGC